AAACTGAAGTATTTGGATCATTGGTGCAAGCAAAGAAGATTTTGCCTGACCAATGTTATGTTGTCTGCAAGTTTGAAGCCTCTGTTCAACGCTGATACTGAGTCAGTTTTGTCATGTAAATGGTTGCTCTTCCATCCCAAAGAATAATGGATATTTTCTAGAAGGCCAAATACATAGATAGACACTTAGAGTTATCATCATCTTCCAGTTGTTTATTATCCTCGTGACTAGTTGGACACTTCTTAATTCTCATTAGCATAATGGACCGGGCACACCCTGATCTAACCTGACAATACACTATTGGTGTGTTCACTTTTCAGCGCAGGGGTGTATTTAGAACCCATCTCCGGCTATTAAAAAGAAATTAAATTTCCCCTTTTACCCTTTCGTTTACCCAAATTGGAAACCCTAATTTGATATGGCAAATATTTTTATTTTTATAATACTAATAGCAGAAAATACTGTTCAAATTGTGGAGTTCTGTAGTAAAAAAAGAGGTATAAAACAAACCAAAAAAACCTCTATTCATCCTTACGAAGATTCTAGTACTTAATATATATATATATATATATATATATATAATAGAACAGATAGAATATGAAATATAAATAGAAGAAGTTGAGGAGAAGGGAAAATCGGTCAATTGACCGGCTGACCCTAAGCTCCTCAACATTCGCTTCTATAATACACACACACACACATTCTGTTTGCACCAGTAATGGAACAACATCATGCAATTCAATTTATTTTCTGAATTAAATTGCCCTTATTTTTGGAGCATCTTAAGATCCTCTCCCTACATTTGACCCACCATATGCAAGATGAAGATATGCTCCATCTTCTTTTCTGATTTAATGATCCTCCACTTTGCCAGCTTGACAGCAGTGCCAGAGTTTTCTCTGGCATTATCCAACTCAAACCTGTCATAACCAGAAAGAGGCCCAATAAATGTGTAGTCACTTTACATGTAGAAACATGTAGCTATTTGTTTATGCAAAATTGAACAGGTTTTGTTCCCCTCCTTTTTAAGGTTCGCAAGTTAAACATGCCTCCTCCATACCAGCCAACCAAAGTAAGCCATCTTGTCTGGGATTTTAACCTTCCATATGTGCTTCCGAGGCCACAATTTAGTTTGATCGTTGGCATGGTTCAGATGATTTTATGAAGAAGCTTCTGAGTTATGCCCTAGCCACCATAATTTATCTTGATTCCGGTTCACCACTGTGAACTGCTTGAGTGTGTTGAAAATCAGTGAATCTAGCTATCTCCCAATCATTCATTGGTCTCTTAAAAGTTAAAACTGATATTCCACCCCTGTGCAGTCCATACTTCATTAGGCTGGGCTTCTGTTGCTGGTTTAGAGTGTAGATATCAAAGAATAGTAGCCTGAGAGGCCAAACCAGTTGTCCTCCCAAATAGACGTGTCTTGCCAATTTCCAATTCTGTAGCTGATCCTAAAAATTTGCCAAAGAGCGTTGATAGGTTTCCAAACACTAAAGGGTTGTTTGGTTGCTAGTTAGGAAGAGAGTTATTCATGTATTAATAGCTAATATCATGTTTATTAGCTTTTAATTGATTTGTATAAAGTTCAGCAAACCATGTATACTGTTCAGTTATCAATCATCATTTTTCAATTTCACATTAATAAGATATGTTTAAGTCAATGAGTCAATTTATGTATTGTTTTATGTGGAGTAGAAGATGGAATAACTAATACATGGATTAGTAATACATAAATAACTACCCCATACATAGCTCCAACCAACAACGGTATGACCCCGAACACTATAAGCAGTGGTTACCTCCTTTGTTTTCCAGAAGCACTCCTCTCTATGTTTACCTTTTGATTACTTTCTTCCGCAGGAAGTGATCTTCATTAGATATCTCCATAGCCATTTTATGAGAAGACTTTGATTTTATTTCCTCAAGTTCAGAATACCTAGGCTTCCCTTCCTTGTTTTCTGTTTGACAAGATGAGAACCTCCCCTTTTCTTGTGGTCTTGCCCAAAAAATTTCTTAGTGAGGGAGTTGTTTTGGTGATGGTTTCAAAATGGAGCTTCTGGAAATTCTTCTACAGTGTTGTCAATTGTGGTGGTTTATGGTTCAAAGGTGGAAGAGTATAAGAAAAAGGCGAAGTAGCTTTGTTACCATTTTAAAAAAATGGAGGAGTTACACTGGTAAAAATATGGTGGCTGATGTTGCCTTGAGTTAGTAGAAACTTGCCAAAAAAATTATTTTCAGCATAAGTGGGCAAGAACTTGAATGAACTCAACAGGAAATTTGTCGGACCCAAGCTCATGGTGCTTGAAATGCCAGTTTCTAAACCAAAGTGTTATGGTCTCAGACTCAGTTTGGCTCTGCGGTGTCAGGTCGTATGACTAATGGTGGAAATATATTTATGGGGAGAGGAAATGTGAATGGAATTTTGGGATGAAACTTTGAGGAGGAGCTGCAAGTATTTGGGGTTGTCCAACTAGGGTGTTAGATTTTCTTCTCAGGTCATTGAAGATCCCATTTTTTCTGCCTTGGAGGTTAGGGGAAGGTTGCATTCACTTTTTAGGGAAGCTAATTGAGGAGGTGGTTGTGTGGTGTTTTTTTTTTAAAAAAAAAATTATTGCATCTCAAAAAATTATAAATGACAATTTTTTTTATAAAAAATAACGTGTTAATTTATTGGTTCATTTGACATGTCAGCAATGATTGCACACATGTTGTTTAGAACCGGTATCCAAAGCACACTTACGCCATTGAGGAGTCTAACTTGTTACAAGAAGTCTGAAGTGTCTAATTAGCAGTTGGTGACAACTTTTAGTGTCTTTCTTTGTGTTTTGCTTTTCTAAAATAATGTTTAGTATCTTCCTTTTTATCTTTTATTAACAGCCTGCTCTCTTGTTTTACTTGCATTTCTTGTTCTCCACCGATCAGCGATGTATGGAAGTTTACTCTGTATTTCTGTTGGGGGATATTTGATATTCATGCAATAACAAGTTTATCAATTTTGCAGCAAAGGCCACATCTTCCAGTCCGCCCCATTCCTTCTCAGCTATGGTGCAAGAACTTTGGAACAAAAGACTACTAGTTTTGTTAGTGAAGCAACGATAGTAGCTTGCTGTGGGGAAGATGATCGCCTTGCCTTCTGTATTTGGATTCTGAACTGCATTTCATGGTTACTTTTTATTTGAAATAGCGTGACCTATAATGACAATGTTCCATTGAATAAACATGACACCGCGTGCTCTTTTTACAACTGATTAAAGCATGTCAACAAACTTTCATGATGGTCTTCTTTGAAGTATTGTTCGTCTTGCTCATCCACCATGTACCACTGCGCTTTCTATCAAAGTAGATCCAGAAGAAGCTAAATAAGTGAATTCTTATATTTGCCTTACATTTGGTGTGTATAATGCAGGTATTGGTGAGTGATTTTACAATTATAATCTCTCTTCTTACTAGCTCGACTAGTTGAGCTCAAATGCCAATAGCAAGTCTAAGTATAGTTTATCTACAACTCATCCTCAAGTAGATCAATGAATGTACGAATTTTTGTAAAACCTAGTTGAGTAAAATTCTTTAAATCATTAAAATAAGGGGTATTGGTGACATCGATAATGTGAGAAGTAACTATTTTGGTGGCAGACTATCTGTAAATTTTGATTGTGATATTGAAATGAATTAAAATAAGTATATTTAGTTTCTTTTGTGCAAGAAATATAATATATTTGAAATATTTTTAAAAGTATGTTATTTGTCATCCGGTATGAAGTAATAATACAAGATTTACAATAATTAAATAGTGAAACTGTTGAAATTTGTGAATATTGACAAGTAAAAGGATAAAAAGAGATGCATTTCAACTAAAATAAAAAAGGGACACTTCACTATACTCTCAAAAAAAGTAATTTCAGTAAGAAATAATGTGTTCAATCAATAAATTTCAAAAATACTTCTAAGCAACAAATGTTTGTCCGAACTTTTTAAAAGTAATTTTAAGTGTATTTTTTTTCTTCTCAAATGTACTTTTCGAAATAATATTTTTAAGAAAAAAAACTATAGCCTGAAAAATAACTTTTGCTACTATCTAAAACTTCTCTCTCATACCTTATTGCTAACACACCCGGTTGTGCATGTCCATCAATGACTAAAGCTATTGTTAATGGACAAGTCAAATTGAGATAGTGACTATGATGCTTTGAACTCTTTAAAAATGTCAATGAATGCGTATTAGATTCTTCAAAAGTAAAATATTTTTGAAGAATTCGACATAGGTACGACAATAAAAGTGAAGAATCCACACAACTTTGATCAGTGATACTCCTCAGTGATCCAGAAAAATAAATTATCAACCGAATGATAATGTTTTTTTAAGGTTAAAAAAAGTTGTGAGATATAGAAGATGTTTACAAATGCAAAGTGAGATTAAACTTTGATATGCATAATGTTTGTAACTCTTAGAATGAATCTATTTACCATGACTCCAAGGTTAAGTAAGGTTAGAGACATAACAAATCATATATCCTAGAGGAATACCAAAAAATCTCAAATTGATATAAGCCACTAGACCTTGCCCAAGCTTATTTGAGAATCGAACGCTGAAAGTATCAATATCTATCGGAAGGAGGGGAGGGAAAATGATGAAATATGAAAATTTTAAAAGTATTTTATAAATGATTCTTTAAGAAAAAGGATGGGATGGTCGCGGGAGAGAGGTACGTGGAGGAGGTGGTGGAGTGAGATAAGAAAAATAATTTAATTTTTTTTATATGGATAGTAATCTATAATTTTTATTAGTATTAATTTTTATCTAGATAAAATATTTTCTACGTGGAATGTGATGTGTCAGAGCTTTTTGATATAAAAAAAATAGCACTACACAACCGTGTGTTTCTCAAACTAAAAAGTAATAGTTTAGATATAAAACTCATATAAATAAATAATTTAAATGTGTTTTTGACACTCTGTAATTATCTCAGTTGTTGCTCATACCCTCATAGTAGTAATAGCTGTTAAAATCAACCCCTCCAAATTGTAGTAGTCGTCGAAATGGTACACATCAAAATTCAAAAACAACGGCCATCTCCTTCGATAAATCTTGTACCATGTTCGTTTTCCTTAGAAATTGCTGAAACCCAGATGCCAAGAACTGTACCGGAATGGGTGTAAAGAATCTTTGGGATATCTTGGAATCTTGCAAGAAAACTCTTCCTCTTCATCATCTCCAGTTAAGACTCTTCCCACTTGGCTTTTACATCTTTTTCTCTTGTTTGGAATTGGGATTTACATTTCTTCTACTTAATTTCGTGTGAAAATAGGAACAAGAGGGTATGTATAGATCTATCTTGCTGGATTGTTCAACTTCAGAATGTCAACAAATCCCATTGTGCGATGAAGGAGAAGCTTTATCTCAGGGGCCTATTTCACCGCGTTAGAGCTCTTATTGCTTTGAATTGTAGCGTTATCTTTGTTACTGGTAATTTTGTTTCTTTCTTTGAGAAGATTTATAATGGGGTTTTACAAAAAAAAAAAATTAAAAATGTATACTTTACTCTTTTTCTTGTTGTATTCATAATTAGTTTGACGGTGTTTTACTTGAAGATTCTTAATTGTGGTATTCTAGATAATTTTAAGATTTGAGTTTGGTTCCAGATTAGTATTGTTGCTTCACACAGTTTAGTAACCTATGACAAGAGAAATTTAAATTCTTTACATATCTAAATACGTCTGGAATATGCATATTGGGAAATGCTGTAGTTAATACATGATAGTTGATACACATTTCAGTGGCTTCCTTTTTTTCCTTTTCCAGATGGAGCCATTCCTGCCATCAAATCATCTACCTATAGAAGGCGATTAAATCTTGGAAATGTGGTAGGATTACTTATTTACTTCCTATTTTTCCTTATCTCCTTGTCCAAAACCTCTTGAGTCTGAGTCTTAACATGCCTCTTTTTCAATTGGTAAGCATTCTAGTTTAAGCTGCTCATTACACACTAGTTTTTTTATGATGTAGCTCACTCAAGATGAGGCGGCGATTAAACCTTCATCAATACGAAGAAACACAGGATCAGACTTTTCGCGCATGATGAAAGAGGCTAAAGTCCTTGGAAATGCACTTGGAATTCCGTGCTTAGATGGGTAACTCTTTACCTATGCATTTGTATTCCGTATGCTATTGATCTGTCAGAATGCAAATATTCATGTAATTCATAAAAGGAACTCAGCTACTTTCTGAGAAACTTTCACTCTTCTCCAAGTGTTCTATGTGATATTATCATTTGTTAGTTTTCCATCTTAACTTGCTCAGGTATCTTTACGTGGAAGAGTAAAATGTTTACAAAAACCAGGTCATTCCATCTGATTACCGTGCAATGAATTGTGAATTGACCGTACTTTAATGAGTCATGTGATATAATGCTTATAACTATTGAGGTGTAGAAAATTACTATTGACTGCTGGAAAAATTTTTCAGGATTGAGGAGGGTGAAGCTCAATGCGCATTATTAAACTCAGAATCATTCTGTGTGAGTAGAAGTCCTGATCCATTATGCTAGTTAGATTTTTCCTGATATGATTGTCGTTCTAAAAGTCTAAGGTGTGTTTGGTGAAGGGGAAGTGTTCTTTTCATGAAACATGTTATCTTGGAAAGTGGATCTTTTTACTCATTTTCGGGTGTTCAGTTTGTAAGCAAAAAGTTTTATCCTAAAAGCATTTGTATATAATATAGACAAATAATATGGGAGGTGATGGGATTTACGGGGTGGGGGTGAAGATGAGGTGTGTCAGAGATTGGGGAGGACACAATCAATGTGGAATGCCACTTGTAGAACTTGTTATCCGTACTTCCATTATGAAAGTCATTTCCTCATTTTTAAGGAACTTGTTTTCCTAGAGAAAATATTTTCCAATTTTTTTACCAAATGAACATGGGAAAACCGGCATTCTCGCTGACCACATCTTATAGGGATCATCGAATCAATAGCAATAAGCCCGGTTTGAAGTGGCTCATATACGGAACAGTAATACCCTGGCTGGCAGATTCAATCAATCAAAATTCAGAAGCGAAATTTCACCCCAAGACTCTGTTCTTAAGAACTTATTACCATAAGAATCATTGTTAATTTTCACTGGAGCTACATCATAATGTACCATACATTAATAATATCATTATCAGGATGGATGTTTCACTTCAGATTCTGATGCCTTCCTCTTTGGAGCAAGAACGGTGTATAGAGATATGTGCCTTGGTGAGAATTGATCAATATTTCTCTGTTCTTTCCTTGACTATTAGTAGTGGATTTTAATTGATTTTGATGTACTTATACTTTTAGTTTGTGAGATTTAGGGGATGGCGGGTATCTAGTTTGCTATGAAATGGATGATATTGAGAGAAAGCTCGGACTTGGAAGGAACTCCTTGGTAATTCTTTTGCCTTTTTGGCTTCTATCACTATTGATTACAATGGGGAGGATATTGTGAAACCATATCGGTCTTAAGGGAAAACACTTCCAATCTATCATGAGGGAGTTTTCTGTTTCTTGGTTTTATTCAGCTCACTTCAGAATACAATGATATGATCAACTGGCAACTATTATGTCCTGATAAATGATGTTGCTGGAGAAACTATGAATCTTTCTGATTTTTACCATGAAATCTGATGGTCTCAGAATTTCATAAACCTTGCTTTGTCTGGAACAGCCCAGCCATTGCAACTCATTGTTTAAATTTCTGATGTATTCGTTGGGGTTTGTTTTTTGGAAATTGTTGTGTCTAGATAGCACTGGCTGTTATTCTTGGTGGTGATTACTCTGAAGGAGTTTATGGGATTGGTCGGGTAAGTCTTAGAAATTCTGATTCTTCTATCTGGAAGGCATTCTTTTTCCTCTCAATTTAACATGTATATGATCTGAAACGGATTAAACTTGATGCTTATCGTATGACATGCTTCTGCGTTCTTAGGAGTCAGCTTGTCAGATTGTTAAATCAATTGGTGATAGAGCTGTTCTTCAATGGATTGCATCAGAAGGATTTTCCTTGGTAAAAAAGAAAAAAGGTTCTAAGAAACAGACTGAAGATGACAAATGCAATGGTAAAGAAAATGCTGCAGAGCATAAAAATCCTGATGGTGAGTCCCAGGGACTAGGGAGGGGGAAGGAAATAAAGAGAAGGAAAAAGTTTCTGGATAGTATTTAGTAATCATATTTATGTTTAACAAGTGCTATTTTTCCTTTTTTCATTATTAGGAAGCAAGTACCCTGCACAAATGAAAAGTCAGGTGTTGCAAGTATTAGATGCATATCTGAGACCAAAATGCCATTCAGCGGACTCTAACTCTGTTCAAAGGTAGATTCTTATTCGATATTACATTTATTCAAAGCAATACTTCTTTCTTTTTCCTTCCCCTTTTGCCTTTTTGGTTTAAGTTTTACCTCATTACACTGTGCTGATTATAAGTATGACATGTTAGTTAAGAACCAAGAAGTCTGAAAAGAAGGATATTTGTTGCAGGATTCTTGCATTGTATCCATATAGCCGCAGCCAGCTTCAGCACATATGCTCTGAAACTTTTGGTTGGCCTCCTGAGAAAACAGGTGTTTTTGCTGAACCAAATACACAGATTTATCAGACCTGTTTCTTTTGGTTCAACATCTATCATGGATAATTCCAATTACAGTTACTCAGCTGTCTGTTTTTTGATAAACTATAGTTCCATTTTTCCTACTAGTTAGAAAATTATGTACGCTATTATGTTGGCACAATCAATGAGAAGCTTTTCTCTGAAAATCCTCTGTTCTTTGTTGGCTCAGATGAGTATATCCTTCCTAAGATTGCTGAAAGGGAACTGCGGAGATTTGCCAACTTGCGGTCCACTGCATCACAACTGGGAGTTCAGCTTCCACTAAATGAGGTAGCTCATTATACTGCAATGACTGCTCAGTGTTATGAGAAATAACTTTTTGTGCTTCAACCTCAATGGACTCTCAAACCAACTTTGCTTCTGTATAGTAGTTTATTATCAAGACCATTTTTGCAGTTACACCCTTACGTCTACCTGAGAATGTTCCTTTTATGATGATAGAAGCATCTGCAGAACTTCAACTGACTTGCATTTAGAGATGATAATGCCACCTTTTTTATTGCTTCTCCAAATTGTTGCCTGTCCCAGTTAACTAACCCAAAATAGTTGCTGTTCTGGTTACTAGATGAGATATGGTTGTGATTTTTTGGATGTTTGATCAGAATAGCTACTCAGGGAACTGCCTTTCAAAAAAAAAAAAAGTAGCTTCTCCAAATTGTTGCACGTGCAATGATGCATTTCATCTGAAACTTTTCTATTAGAGTTATTGTTTTCTCAATATATTTGTGATTATTTGTCTATGAAAAATTCTACTACTATATTTCATTTTATCAAGTGTGTTTCTGGAAATGATCTCTAAGATCTGAACATGAACAGATGCCAATAAAGTGTCCATTATCTCAAATTGTCAAGCCAAGAAAAGTTCAAGGAGTCGATTGCTTTGAGGTGTCTTGGGAAGAAATGGATGGGCTTGAAACCTCCATAGTACCAGCTGATCTTGTTGAGAGGTATGTCAACTATAAATTGATTTGTTCTAATGAATTAAGGGGCTACTAAGGTACACAATGATCAGTAAGGTCAGGTTTTATACATCAAAGCAATAGGAAAAAACTATTGCTTTAACCATTTTGATACTGGTTTTCAGATGGTTAGGAAGTCCAATTACATTGTTGTGAAGATAACGGAATTTGTTTATGAAACTATAAAGTAAGAAGGAGAAAGTAGTAGTGAGAGGAGAGAAGACTTATTATTTCTTTGAAGGGATGTATTTACAATGAAGGAACCTTTATTTATTGGGAAACTTGACTCAGTTCCCAAGAGATTCACTAGAATACAAATATGTTTATCTCAAGGGTTGGTGATGGTTGTTGACCTAATGCAACTTTATGCTATCAAACACAACACATTAAAAGGTGAATAGTATCTGTAACAAACTACATCTTGCTTGGGTATTTTCTATGCAGACCTAAATATTTTATGTTTGAATATCAAAACGTTTCATGATACATTATCATAGATTCACATCATGTACCCCATGCAAGCAAAAACTGGGAAGTAGACTTCTTTTGGCAACTGAAGAAACTTTCTTGGAGTTTAAGTTCTTTACACTGTCGGCATAAAAGATATTTTATGCTACTCAAGTTACTTATCCACAACATATTTAGTTGAACTTGCTAAGGTCACGCAGCACTGAAACATATTAAATTCAATGAGGATGGATTACTCAGTATACAAGATGACAAGAATATGTATGATTTGCCAGCCATCCTCAGGTTTTTTGGGTGATGTTGACATAAAATACATGAATTCAGTGATATAGCAATTGCTTAGAGATTATGCACTCTGATTGGAGATCCATTCAAATAAAATACAAGCCTCCTAATTTGTTCACAAATTACACTGTTTGATCCATCATTCATCTCTTCTTTCCAACAGGGCTTGTCCGGAGAGGATTTTGGAGTTCCAAGAAAGACGAGCTCAAGGAAAGAAACGAAACAATGCTCGATCAAGACCAAGAAAACCAGAAAATCCACAGCTTTTGGGTCAAATTGACCAGAAACTCCAAGACCTCTTGCTTGAGATTGATAGAGAAACCTCTACTACCAATGATGCCACTTCTTTATGTAGATCAGTACCAGAGGATGATGACGACATTGCTCATATTCAGGTGGTAGATACAGGTAAACAGTCCCATTATACATGGAACAGCAACTGTGTGAAGAAGGGTGGTGATTTTACTTATGGGATCACCAGTTTCCAAGAGAGCAACATTTCACAAGTTTCATCTGAAGATGAAGTAATTGATCTCACAAGTCCTCCACCGCTGCAGCATGCTTCTGGGAACTCCAAACACCTAGAGGGCAACGTTCAATGCATTGATTTGGTTGAACTTAGTGATTCAGACAATGATATGTTCTCCCCTGAACATACAAGGAGAGCTAGAGAACTGAGAATGTTCATTGCACGAATTAAGAACACTTGCTGAATGTTTAACAAGAGTGTACACATATTTATTCATATGTTTTATCATTAGTTGCCCATCTCTGGCAATTGCTCGTATGATGTCAACTTGTGATTAAATGTCTTTTTCTTGATTAGCATAGTAGCCAGCTACCTTCAAATGAGGACTAGCATGTTGAATGTACTCTGCCTCTTTTTCACAAAAAAAGTCAAAAAAAGAGAATAGATAACCTTTTCCCTCTTTTTCTTTTTGGTGAAGACTTGTTTTTCAGGTTTTAAGTAATTCATAGAATAAATACTTAAAAGTCACTTTCTTGCAATACCCTTTATTTTAGCACTAACCTTTCCTCGTTTTAAAGACTTGATTCTCAGGCATTTCGAGGATTTGCCAATGTAAATCTTGAGCAAGATCCGCGTTGATTGCGGAATTTAACAGCATATAACTTGGTGGAGAAAAGAAATGAAACTGATGTTGCCTTTTTTGGCAATGCAATTTGCATATCAGTTGCTTTGACAAAATGGACAAATTACATTAACAGATTCAACCAGGTGTTTTCTTTTTCCAAGATGGAAGACCTGCCAAGATCAGTATAGCCCTTCAAAGCTGAAGAGAAGCAAACGAGAAGCAAACGCCTCACTTCTGATATGGTAAATCATCAGATTTTGTTAGGGAAGTTCCAATCACGGATTTAATGCAGTTATTATTCTTTCTAAAACTGATACCTAGCATTGGCGCGAGACCTATTATCTCTTTAATTTAGCTTAGCTTAGACAAATCTTTTTTGATTAGCCTAACATGTGGTAGAGGAGGGCATCTTCAAAACTTCAAGCCGTTCGAATAACCATGAAAATCAGGGGGGAAACCTAACCTTCACATGCATCCAAACCAACAATTATTTGTCCATTCATCAGATAATATACAACCCTTAATTAATGAAAATGATAGACACTCATAAAACGGAGATTCTTTACACATCATGATACTGAACTACTTGTTTATGCTTCGCGTGATCTCTAAGAAGAGTGAATTCCCAAGGCAGAGACAGGTTGCCTGCGTATAAATACAAAATTGACAGCTAACGGTGATTACCTGAATGCAGGAGGAATAATAGCTATTTGGTCCAAATCCTTGGTCAGCAGATTTTACCCAACAGCTGTGATTGCAAACTGCAGCAAGCTGCTTTCTGGATTAGTCAAGATGCGCCCAATGCTCCAAGCTGACTCAAACACCACCATTATCCAAAAGGAGAAACCCCGAAAATAAATAAGCCCACCCCTTTACTCTTAAGTTTAATATCATGCTTTTGTCTAATACATCAGAGTTTGAACCATGATGTATGCCCAACCCACAAATCACGGGTTGTGCTCTTACCACTAGACCAAAGCTCTGTCAGCAATAAAAATTAGGTAATTATCATAATGCAGCAATAAGAGGGACATCGATAGCAATGGTAAGAGCTCAACATGATAATCAGAGTCAAGTTTAAAAGCTCACCTGAATTGATAAAAAGCAAGATATTCAACATCTATATTTGGATCAAAATAGTGGTGTCCTACTGTACAAGCAGGCAGGCAGTTTCACTACCAGCATTTACCTGCAAAATGAGAAGGATCTTTTTCATGATGGAACAGTAGGACATAAGCAAAGTACTGCCACGAAAAATATTTTCTAAGAATCATTTTCTTATGTTCATTGGTTGGTACATAAGCAAGAATATTATCCTAAAAGCATTTGTATATAACCTAAACAATTACTATGGGATGTGGGGGTAGGGGTAGGGGCAGGGGCAGGGGTGTCGGGTGGGATGAAGGAGATGTGTGTTGGAGGATTGTAGGGCACAATCAATGTGGTATGCCACTTGTGGAACTTTTTTTCCGTACTTCCACTAGGGTAGTCATTTTTCTCATTTTTAAGTGACTTGTTTCAAAGTCACATGTTTTCCAAAAAGTTTGACCCACCGGACATGGAGAAATTGGAACACACCTAATTTAGAAAGGAAAAAAGATAGATGATGCATAATTAACCAATCCCTCCGTTCCTGAAGAATGACACTATTTCGTTATTAGTCCGTGACAAAAGGAAAGTTACTTAAATTTCCCATTTTTCTCTTATTAATTTTTTTTATGGAAACTGTTATTCACAATCTTTTATAGTCACAAGAATGTTGAAACATGTTTATGACCACAACAAAAGTTCTCTAGCCACACAAATGCTATGGCGTATTTGAAGCCACACGTATCAAAAGTCTTTATTTCTTTCTTAAACTCCATGCCTAGTCAAACAAGGTCATATAAATTGAAAAGGGAGGCGATATACTAGCATACCAAAAGTATCCTTAGAATGTTGTCTTCAACATGTCATGCCATTCCAATAACATGTTATTAGGAGAAAAATGGAAAGGACAGCTGGATGCACAAAGCATCCCACGTTAGCAAGGTCCGGAGAAAGGCTGCACCCTAAGGTGTGATGTAGACAGTCTATTCTAATGCAAGCATTAATGGCTGCTTCAACAGATCGAACTTTTGACCTATGGGTCACACGTAACAACTTTATCGTTGCTCCAAGGCTCTCCCCTTCCATGGAGAAAAATGGAAAGGGTGAAACAAAAGAGTTTCTGAATGTAGAATGTGTCAATATTATTGGAATGGATCAAAAGGAAAGACTGTCATGTAAATGGAACACAAGAAGTACAGAAAAACAGAGGAAAGAAAGATAGGATAAATTGACTTATCTTTACCTACTTATTAACTGAGCTGCAAGGCTTCTAGCTTGCATTAGAAACTGGAGTCTCCTGTCATTACCATGTTCTTCAAGATATGCATAGTTAAGGTTCATAAACAACTCCCTGTAAAGCTCACTGATGTCGTCTAAGCCTTCAACTATTCCAGCAGACAAGGAATCTGATTCTAGGACATCCTCTGTGGGTTCATTTTTACAGCCATCTTGCCTATGGCTTAGAGAACAGCTCCTTCGAAATTGTTGTTCAGTGTAGTTACAGACTGCTGCTTCCAGTTTTGCAGCTATTACAATGGCTTGCTGAATACATGTGACCGGCAGCTGAAACAAACAAGAACATGAGATAAACAATGGATGTTTGAATAAACCAATTGAAAAGATCTGACCAGAAATCATCACACATTGACCCAGGCAATTGAGTAACAGGTAAAAAGACACTGGCATCAATGACTGAAAACTTTAGCTAGTGTCCAACTTTTAGTATCACATTAAATTTTACTATCAGGCTTCATTGAGCCTGTCTTTTATTGGACCTGCACAAAGAGGAAGCATGAAAAGAGGGAAACTCACTTGTGCAAGCTGAGCAACTTTAAAACCAAAACTTCTCCCAGAAACACCTGGTGCAAGTTTGTATAGGTAGGTGATGTCCTCACCATTAATGTGATCCATCTTCTCATTTGACTTGAAATCCCCATTCACATCTCTTTGGGATGTCAAATATGACACATGGTATGGTCCCACAGAGCCTGGAAACTTATTCTTGATACTGACAATTTCAGGGTAATGAGTAACAAATAGAACCATGCATTTTTTGTGCTCCAGGAGATATTGAAGTGTTGCATAAGCAATTGCTACGCCATCATGTGTGCTGGTGCCTCTCCCAAGCTCATCAAGTATAACCAGTGAATTGGCTGAGCATTTTCTCAGTATATCAGAAGCCTCACTGAGTTCTTCTAAGAATGTACTCCTTCCCTGCTGAATACTGTCTGATGCACCCATGCGAGTATATATCCCATCCAGTACATGTAGTTTTGCAGAGATCGCTGGTACAAAGGATCCAACCTAGAGGTACCCAGGAGGAAAAGAATACCTTTTATTAAATCATACTATTGTGGATCTTCAGTAGACAGATTTGCACTAACAAGCCATCATTAAAACTTCTTTCCAATTACACTTGTTTGAGATATAAGTGTTTTGAACGGCGAGAGGCGACAAAAGGCGACAAGGGCCTGCCTCACCACGCGGCGAGGCGAGCGGTGAGGCGCTTGCCTTTTTGAATTAAGGCGCCAATTAATACCAAAAATTAAAAATATTTAATTGCATACATAAATATCCAAAATCTTAATAGTAATAACACATATTAGCAAATATTCAATTCAAAAACCAATAGTAGTAAAACTTTAAAGACCAAAAATCCAAAATACAATACTAAAACTTTAAATGTCTATTCTTCTTCAAAACTATCCAACTCTTGAAGAAAAGAACTCAAGAAGAACTGAAAAAATCAAAAGAAGAAGAAAAAAAGAGGTATACCTCAGGTCCTCAGTGCAGCAGCACCTTGAAGATTATGGAAAACAGGAGAAGAGACGCGACCGGCAAATTTTGACAATAGAAGAGATCGCGAAGGGAAGAGGAGTCGGCGCGAAGAGATCGCGAGGGGAAGAGGAGTTGGGCAGCAGCAAATTTTGAAAATAAACAAAAAAAACCCTAATTTTGACTAATATTGTTAAGTCAAATCTTTTAAAAAAATTTAAATCAAAAAGGCGGCGCCATTTTTGTCGCCATTAGCTCGCCTCGCCTTAGTGTGGAATGGCGAGAAGGGCTCGCCTCGCATTGCCTCTCGCCTTTGGCGATGAGGCGCTCGCCATTCACAACACTGGATATAAGTAATCAATCCTTATCAATTACATGAGAACAGCCTTACAACTAGAAGCCAGTTCTACAATAAAAAGATTATGATAAGCTGCAGTTGCCAGGAAAGTTTTAAAATAGTCAAGGAAAATACTCTTTTGATTACAGTCTTTATTTTTAACCAGTCAACTATTAAGGAATTGTTCCTTCAGTCACACTGTCAGAGACACCTAGTCATACTGTACAGAGATGTGTGTCATACACTTCTCTGCTAATTCTACCTTCACATACATTCTTCTATAAAAGAAATATTTCCATGCCTAAGGTCACACAAAGATAGTGAGATAAAGAATTTTAGAGATATAACATAGAAGCAAGCATCAGTATGGCATTACCTGAGCCATGAGAGCAATAAGAGCAACTTGGCGAATATAGCAACTTTTCCCCCCCATATTTGGTCCAGTGACAATCTGACAGTACTCTCTTTCTGCATGCAAATCTGTATCATTTGGGACAAAGTTATCTTGTAAAACAGCCTCCAGAACCTGTCAAAGCCCACAGTTAATATTCAATTTCTCAAAATAAGTCAATAAGAGATCGTCACACATATAAGAATGCCTTAAACAGCCGATTAATAAAATGAGCATCCCAATTCTATTCAGCTGGCAAGGGTAGCAAACATCAAAGAATTCACCTAATATACTTATGGAGCTCTACCAAACAACAGAAAGAAATTTAATTTCCTATGTTGTTTGCAAGCCATCTGAAAATCTAGTTTAATGGTAGTTTGATATTATGTATGCCAAGAAGATCTGCTTCCAAGGACAATAGTAGAGATGGAGTCAAATGCGATGTAGATTAGTGGTATCCCTTGGATTTTTGAGTACGTATTCATCAGCACCAAGGTGGTACTGGAAATGAAGTTTTGAGTAAAGTAGCATTATATTTGTTGAAGTGTGTTATCATCCCATCAAAAAGCTTAAGAGCACACTTTTATAAGTTAATTTGTATTCTCAACACGCCCCCTCACGTGCAGGCCTGATTCTTTTTCACGGTTCAAGCACGTGAAAATTCTTTTTGATATGGATGGCGATGTGATTCGATCTCAGGACCTCTGTCTGCCCTGATACCATGTTAAATTAGGTCTGGAGTCTAACTCACATCCCAAAAATCAACACCAAGGTGGTACTGGAAGTGAAAAAAAATTACAGATTGAATGGAACCTTGTATCTTACAAGGAGTCAAAAAAATCTACAAGTGATTCTACACCTTCAATGTAGTTCTATTAACACCAATATCCAGAAGACCAATAAAAAAACAATCCAGCTTGATTTTTTGTATAGAACTACTACTATTCTCAAAAGGTCTCTTATTCCTTTCTTTCCCGACAATCCAGCATGCTATGCATATTGGGGCCATTCTCCAACACTTCTTCTGTCTATTCTTTTAATGTTGCTCCAGAACCACAGAGGTGTCCCTCGGATTTCAAAAGCTTAATCTACTTGACAAACGACGAGAAAGTGCGTCAGCTTATATTATGAAAATTTTCTAACAAATTCTCTCTTTAAACCTAAATGGATGAATTGATTAGGCAGAATCATATGGTTACAAAAATCTTTATCTGATTGATCTAAGTTCATGCAATTTATTATTTATTTATTTATAAATTATTCATATTTTGGTCAATTGTTGAATAAAATCAACTGAAAGGAAAATCACTTCGCTTATTTTATAATTTTTATTTAGTTACACATCGTAAACCTATGCAACAAGATTTATTAAAAAATCTTATATTTTCTTTGTTTTAACAATGAATTAATAATGAGATGGACGAAGCAGTCTGAAGTGAGTATTCATGAGTCGAAGTATGATATCAAGTGAAGGAAAGGGGAATTTTAGGAAAAAGATCTCCTTTTACTCGGATGCCAAAACCTAGGGTTTCTTTGTAGAAATGGTAGAACATGAAATGGATGAGTTGCCTAGCGGCACAAAAATGTAATTGCTGAATGTCTTAACATGCTAAAGGTTACCAGATTATACACTTTCAATACCTAAATCCAGGTGATATACTAATTACAGATACCTGATATTTATTGGGAATTAGCCAATGTAATCCAATGACCTCAAAACTCAAGATATTTCCATTCAGATTGCATAATTTTGCTAGAAAATAGAACATAAAGCTTCTTTCTTACTGATGAAATTCGATAGGACAAAACTAGAACTTAAAGTAGGTAAAAGGCACCATAGTAAAACATGAAATAGCAAGTAAAACTTGCTGTTGATGCAAAACTTCCTCCTATAAAGCAAATGCAGATAACGGGTTACGGCCTGTATATTACAACTGCTATTCATTTTTGATATGGAGAAACAGAAACCAATTGAGTTCTCAACTTTCAGGTATCAAAGAGGTGTGGGGTGTAAATAACACTATCCTTGGTTATCTAATGCAGATTAAGACAAAAAAGTCTAATCTAAAACAATTCTTTTTTGAGTGGTAATCTTTATCCACTTCAACCTAACCCTCCTTTCCTGTAGTCAAAAAGTAGTTTTGATCCCCTCTAAAGATAAGCAGGGAGATCTTTGAAGCATGTTAAATCCTGATCCTTCCACTCTCGAGATCGAAGAAGAATTATAGCTAAAGGTGCATCGGCAAAATAAACCCAAGCTCCTTGAGCACATGATAAGTAAATGCGAGAGAGAGCTAGACTATTTTTACCCTAGTCACCGACCAAATAAAGAACCTCAGCAGCTAGTTTGAGCCACTGATACCGGAACTGTTCTTTCACCAGAAATATTGTTCCAACTTTGCTCCCCAAGTGACTACCTACTCAAAGTTGGAAGTGGAGGGATCTTTCACCTCGAGCTACCCTCTTAAGAGTTATCAAAAGCGAAAAGCAGAAAAAATTCTTAAAGTCTGGGAGATTTAAGCGCAAAGCGAAATAAAATCGGGGCTTTAATGAAAAAAAGTATTTGAAGAGATGGGCCAAGAAAGAGGAGATAGCACGGAAACAAAGATCCAGGGTACAATGGTTGAAACATGGAGACAAGAATACAGTTTTTCCACAGAATCGCCACCTCTCATACGAAGTTCACTACTATGGAACAACTTGATGTAGAAGGTAACATTGTGAAAGATCCCGCTATGATCAAGGAGGTTGTCCAAAATTTCTACATAAATTTATACAAGGAAGCTGAACAATGGAGGCCAGATCTGAACATTCAAGATGTTAATATGATAAATGGAGAGGAACAAGCATGGTTGCAAAGACCTTTCGAGGAAGAAGAAATCCTAGAAAGTATTAGGATGTGTGCTAAGGAGAAGGCTCCTGGACCGGATGGCTTCTCAATGATTTTCTTCGAGACTTTTTGGGAGGTTTTGAAGGAGGACAAAATTAACACTCTTTCACAATTCCACTCCAATCGAAATTATGAGAAAAGTTTGAATGCAACATTCATCACTCTAATTCCTAAAAAGGTTGGAGCTTCAGAATTAAAAGATTATAGGCCAATAAGTCTGATAGGAGGGGTCTACAAAATCATAGCTAAATTACTGGCAAAAAGACTTAAGAGGGTGGTGAGCAAATTGGTCAATAAAATCAGATGACTTTCATAAAAGGGAGACAGATCATGGATGCTGCATTGATAGCTAGAGAGTGCATAGATTCAAGGATGAAAGGTGGAGTTGCGGGTTTATTATGCAAGTTAGACATCCAGAAAGCATATGACCACGTAAATTGGGCATTTTTATTGAATGTTTTGAGACAAATGGGCTTTGGTAGTAAGTGGCTAAAAGAAGTGTGCATTAAAACAGTCAGGTTTCTCAATACTAGTAAATGGTGAACCTGTTGGCTTCTTTGCATCAGAAAAGGGGCTGTGACAAGGTGATCCACTGTCACCTTTTCTCTTTATTCTAGCAATGGAAGGTTTTAATAGTATGATGAGAATAGCTACACAGAACAGGTGGATCAAGGGTTCCCAAATAGGAGACAGAACAAGGAATAGAAAAAAGATTAGCCATTTGCTATACGCAGATGATACTACCATCCTTTCTGATCCAGAAGCCAAACAGCTGAACTACATCAGATTGATTCTGATCTTATTTGAAGCAGTATCAGGGCTAAGGGTCAATTGGGAAAAAAGCAGCTTGATTGCAGTCAAGGAGGTGCCTCAGATTCAAGGATTTGCAAGCATTCTAGGGTGTAAAGTAGAGAAGTTGCTGACAACATACATAGGAATGCCATCTTTGGGGATATGGGATGGAATTATGGAAAAAGCAGAAAAAATTATCAAGATGGAAGGCTCAGTATCTATCCTTGGGGGGTAGAGTAATCTTGATAAACTCTGTGTTAAATTCACTGCCTACTTATGTTATGTCGTTTTTTCCAATTCCTCTAATAGTTATCAAAAAGCTGGACAGACTGAGAAGAAACTTCCTCTGGCAAAAAGGCAAAGAAGGAGAAAGCAAGGATTACTATTTAGTGAAATGGAACACTGTTATTTTAAGCAAAGAAAGAGCGGGACTGGGTATTAGAAATTTGAGAATCCAAAACAAGAGCCTTTTGATGAAGTGGTTGTGGAGATATACTAGTGAGGAAGGAACCCTGTGGAAGGAGGTGATAATGGCAAAGTATGGGGAATTGAACGCATGGTGCACAGAGATAGTGGCAAAGTATGGAGAATTAAACCCATGGTGCACAGAGATAGTGTCAGAACCCTATGGGTGGGGAGTATAGAGGACAATCAGAGCTTTATGGAACTCTATGAAAGAAAATGTGTTGCTGAAAGTTGGAAATGGCAACACGATCAAGTTTTAGAGAGATGGATGGATTGATCAAGTTCCTCTAAGTGAGTCATTCCCAGATCTTTTCTCAATCTGCAACAATCCTGAAGTCAGAGTATGTGAATGCTGGACAACTCAAGGCTGGGACCTATCTTTCAGAAGGCTATTGAATGATTGGGAAGTAGATAGACTGGCTTCTTTCCTGGAAAACTGGGGGGAACCAATCTAGTAACAAATGCACCAGATAGAGTTATTTGGAAGCTCAACAAGGATGGCAAATTCACAGTTAACTGTGCTTACAAGAAAGGCATACAAGTTGGGGTTAGAGGCTACCATCATCACTGGAAGAGTATTTGGAGAAGACTGATCCCCACCAAAGTGAAATGCTTCACTTAATTAGTCATCAAAAGGGCTTGCTTAACTCAAGAAGTGCTGCAGAAGAAAGGAAAGAAACTAGTCCCTAGGTGTTTTGTATACAATTTGACTGGGGAAACAAACAAACACTTATTTTTACATTGCAAATTCACTACACAAATCTGGGTGATGTTCCTCAACATCACACCTCCGATCTTTTTAAACAGAGGGGGCGGTAGCAAGACTCAAAAGAAGTGGTGGAGGCTAATACCATCATGCATATGGTGGTCAATGTGGAAGGAAAGGAATGGGAGATGTTTGAAGATAGATCTAATTCCATTCAAAAGTAAAATGGAATTTTTTGGTATCTTTACCTTTTTGGTGTAAACAGCTCTATATAGAAGATGTAGATCAAATTATAGAATTAATATGGAGCTTGTAATTTTGGTAAGGGCTGTAAATTTTTTGAAGGTGACCAACATGTCCTTAATGCTGAAGAATACAACTTTACCAATGTTCAAAAAAAATATATAAATATATATGTTTAGTCCAAGACTAATAATTATAAGAACGATTAACCATTTTATGAACAACGAAATTGAAAATTAAAGTACGATAAAGTGAAATATCAACTGTTTAGTGCCTCTCCAGGAAACGCTCATTGGCAAGGAAAAGTACATCTCAAAGCCTTGATGATAACATTAAAGCACACATTGAGTGAGGTGACACGCTCAATGTTTTGAGCCTCGCTTAAGTGTGCTTTAGGAGCACCTTTGACAACACTGTCATCTAAATAAATTTTTTATGACCATGAAATTCCAGATGACTGGCTGATGCATGGTTCATAACACAGTGGAATAATGGGTCAGCCCCTTTACGACTCTACCCTTGTCCACTTAAATACCAGGATTCAGTCTGCAGTTTTTGTCATCTAAATAGCTTAAGGAAGTTCTCTTCACTTCGCCAACAGTAGTTAAACTACAATTCTGAAGTCTTAAATAGAGAAACTTCCATGAACAATGTTTTCAGTACATACCGGATGACGACCAGAGCATATATGTATCTGAACAGCCTCATCATCTTCAACAAAGAGCGGACGGACATAATTCTGGAACAAACAATGAAGAACTATTTACATCCAATAAAGCAAGTACAAGCAACAAAGGAACAAAAAGTTATCTTTGACCTTATTCCTCGAAAGAATGGCGAGAGAATTTAGACAATCCAATGAAGCCAGGGCTTGCACAACAGCTTGGAACTCGGCAAAGTATCCACCAAAACCCGTCAAAAAATTACTCCATGCAGCTTGGCAAACGACAGTGAGCTGCTCATTTGCCAACGCTAACTCATCTAAAGCCACTAATACTTCTGGTGAATGATAACGTATTGCTTTCTTAGTACTGTTCACTTTGACCCAATCTCGAGGCACCTTTGTGTTTAGAGGCAACTGCAGTTGAAGCATCATATAGTCAAATAAATACAGTAGGGCATAAATGGGCATACTTCCTCTGCTTCAAAGTCTCACTATAAACTACAAGTTTGAGGTATGTGTAAAAGACAATTACAGCCTAAAACGCCTAAAGTTTGAGGTATGTGTAAAAGACAATTACAGCCTAAAACGCCTAAAACATGGATTTACCTTGGCAGGCTATGCAGCACCAACAAGCAGAAAACTTTCTCAAAAAAAAATACACATACAGTTGATATGCAATGTCCTTTAGAAGTGTATACTTGACACTCGCATCCCAGAAAAAATTTAAGGGATAAGGCATGAAATATACCTCTTTGTTAAACAAGCTCCACACCTGATGGATGGAAAATGGTAATGGGCAGAAGAATCTGGACTAACAAGACATGTCTAACACTAGTTGTTGCTGGCCAAACATGATGTCCTCTTCACGGGAGACGGTGCTTCTTACTATCTTGGACAATCCACAACTACATTCCCTTTCCTACTCATCCCCTACCCTCCACACCCAAATAAAACAAAAATGGAAAATAAACAATAAAAAGAAGCAACTCAAATAAAACCAAATGAATAAATATTTAGGTGATTGGAGTAAATATGTGAGGAATTATGAATGCAGAGTAAAAGAAAAAAACACAACAAAATCTATCTCCAGAAAGTGTTTACATTTGCTTGCTCCCTCATAGAAGAAGTAAGTAAGGTGATATACTTGCATTATTTTTTTTTAAGAATAGTAACTTTCTTTTTTTTATTTATCCACAGGTATACAGTACATCAAAGTAGCCCCCCCTCCAAAAGTATTACAAGCTAGACTGACTCCATGTGCTTTTTGTCACAAATAGTCTATGACATCAAAAAATTCTTCTGCCTGTACCAAGACTTTCTGTTTACCCCAAAAATAATAAAGAGCTATACAATTCATCCTGAAATTCTTCACATTGTCTTTCTTGCCCTCAAAACATATTTGATTCCTTTCTTTCCACACTGTCCACCATATACAAGCTGGGACAATACTCCATCCTCCTTAATTGTAGTATTGCCAATATTGATCCAGCAGTTTAGGAGTTGTACTATGTTTCTTGGTTTCATTTCACCCAAGTATATACTTGCATTATATTTATCCGCTTATTTGGACTCCTTTAATGACCTCCTGCATTTGATTGTTATTTCTAGTTGGACGATCCATTAAAATCCAAGTAGAGTTTGATGCCCTTTGAAACCTTGAGTTTTGGTTCAAAACATGTGACTAAGTGGGTAAGGTGGGATTTTAAGCATTTTTCAGCTTATATTAGTGTTTGGTGAACTTAAAAAGTGTACTAAAGCAAAAATAAGCCAAAATAAATAAGTTGGGCAGCTTAGAAGCTTTTCAGATTTAACAAGTATTTTACTTTCTCCTGATACTTTTTATATAATTTTCAAAATACCACTCCCAAGAAAGCTCCAAGTCTGATGTTTTTTTCCTTCTTTATCCCATCTCAACCTCCCATCTCCACAATATCTCTGGATAGTGGCAACAACCTAGAGGAAACTTGCAAAGATGAAAACAAAAGGCAAATGACTGGGAGCTTTCCTTGGGACCTCATACAATTTGTGTTATAACTATTTCTTAAAGCAAGTGCTTTGCTTCCTTTTTCACTCAGTTTCTCATAGCGACCTCGATGCCAAACAAAAACTAGTTTTCCTTCTAGAAAACCAAGTTTCGACTTAACAACTATTCCTCATACTTGAGCTCATATCCCCCACCCTAGTGCAAGTATCCAATGAATTCTTCTGTGATTTGTTAATGAGAATGTAGTTTAGAGATAGTTCATTGATAATTAGATAATAACTCTATGGTTACATGACTCTTAAAATTTTCCTAAACAGTTTATCAAGCATATATAATTCCCACTTCAATCAAATTATTGGACTATTATATGCTATTCAAATAAATAATTCACTTATTAAAAATAATCTTACCTAATCTATTTGGAACTGAAAGTGGATTGAAGCATGAATTGAAGTAATCAACTCCTTTATAGTGTTTGTCACATTAAGGATATTTTTGTCGTTGTACCAGAAGAAGTATTGATAAATGATAAGCACTTCTCTACCAATTCCAAACACATGGACTCTCATTTTAAGTTTTCACTCTTCTATCCAAATACAAAACTGTGTATTTATATAGTACCAGTGCAAGCACTTGACAAGTTTTTTCAGCATTTGGTGTTCAAAAGCTACTTAAATTCAGCTAAACCAAACGGGATCTAGAGTAGCAATGCACAGCAAAATATTTCCAGATTGTGGACAGCAAGAAAAGATATACATTCTGAAGAAAACAAAAACTTAACATGACAGAAGAGATTACAAGAAGAAAGATTGGAATATGATGAATTCTTCTAATGTACCTCTATCAAATGTGTGATACCAGCTACACTAGTATACTCCAATTTGTGGATGTGAAGCTGCTTGCGATGCATAACAATCAATGAGTCTAACTTCTCATTTGCCAACTCAACTCTCCTTGTACCTTCAGCAACCTGTGAACCAACTGAAAGTAGTCAATGAATCAAGTGCAGACAAGAAATATGGCATAGAAAAAGAATACAACAAACCTCTGGGAACTTCCCATCAGAAATGATAAATAAGTTGTGAAGATCCTGTCTGTCAGCAGCTTCCTTGTTTAAAGCAGACAAAAGCTTAGCAGCACCATTAATAACAGTAGAAGATGAGGCAATTGATATCAGCTTTCTCAACAGGACAGAATGCAAGGTCTCTCTTTGCAGATTAGTACTTCTGTCCTCCGTAATGAAAAGCCGCTGAAGTTGTTTCGCAGCAATCAAGATAGCTTGAATGACTGCAATAAACTGACACAGAAATTCCAATTAAATTCCATCTAAAAGATGGTTGAGGCTGCAAAACCAATTCAAGGAACAATTTATGCTTGTGCGGCTGCTTTAAAAATATATTTCTAAGCATTAGCTGATTGGACATGTAATCGAAAATCAATATCTCCCACCACAGGCACCTGTCTGTAGTTACCAGAACTATTACATATGTGACGGAACCTATCTAAAGTTGCATTTTGATGATTTTCCCCATCAGATAAGAGACTGTACCATAGAACAAAACTGGAAAAAAAATCCCAATTAAATCAGAAGATAAAAACCTTCACCTCAGCAGCAGTAGCTTTTCTATGAAAGATTCTTGTAAGCCCCCGCTGGATATCTGGTGGCCTTCCTATAGTGGACAGAACTGAAACAATTATATGATGTATCTCCGGTTGCGAACTGGTGACATCAGCACCTTCCATCTCCAAGACAGAAGTATGAGAAGTTCGATGAGTTTGCATAGATTCTGCAATCTCTGAAACTGCATCAAGACGAGCACCTATCATGTTTCTATCCCGTAATGGATGAGTCACCTGCAAAATATGAAATTACACATGTACCTTCTATCTGTTCATATTATCAAAACCCAACAAACTAACAGCAAAAAATCTCCATACCCAATGCCTGAGAAGCCTTGAACCAAATAAAGTAAGGGTCTGATTCATACAATGAAATAAGGAGCCAGACTCTGATCCGTCAAAGTTATTCATCAAAACCTACATCATCAGTAAAATTACAAATGGGGAAAAATATGCCTATCGTATCTGTTGAGAGCTAAAAAATTGCCGGTGCAGTAAAGTGGACAGAAGGGAAAGAAAACTTTTAAAACTTCTATCAAATTGTATATTGTATAATGTATATCATACATAATATTCAAATTACTTGAGAACTGTTCATTTTTCTTTTTTTTCCTCCTTTTAAAATTTCTGATACGCTGACAAGCTAGGTATCTTTGATGTTTCTTAGCCAGAAAAAAAGATTGCTAAATCATTCTCCTCTCCACTCTGCATAATTATATAACTAGTCAAAAGCCGAACAGAAGTAACCCCAGTAATTCCTCCAGATGTCCCCATTAATATTAAAAGCCACTGTTTTATAGCTTAAAACTACGAAGCGACTTGATGCGCAATTATAGATTGTTGAAGCCATATGCTATAGAGAAGTGTGCACTTCTAAATTAATGATCCCAAGGAAAGCCATTGGTTCTATGAACCTTTGAGGATTTGGATTAATATCGGCTCAATTGTAAATCTGGTTGCTGAAATCAGTTATGTTAATACAATTTGATTATTTTTTTTATTTTTTTGGAGAAGGTAACGACTTGTATTCTATTTCCACAAAAACAGAGACCTGCCACGACAAGTTACAAGTTTCCAACTACAATTGAGGAGGAGTATCTAGAAGATCTTCAACCCTTTTAGCAAAACTTTACAATAATCCTAAGACATCCCTAACTGATTCTAGATCTTCCCTATACTCCTGTTTACACCAAAAGTGAACAAAACTAAACACTTCATCTTCATCTTCTGGATATTGTTGCTCTTGTTCTGATGGCACCTGAGGTTTCTTTCTGTCCAAGCAGCCCACCAAATGCAAGCCGGTATAATTTTCCACTTATCCTTATGGTCTGACATGCTAGCATAACTGCTCCAGATCTTCAAGTCTGACCTATTTTCCTTGGCATTACCCAATTCAGGCCCTTCTTACTTAACAACATTTCCCATAGTTGACGGGTAATCCTGCAGTGTATAAAAAGGTGGGTTACAGTCTCAGCCTTTTCTTCACAGAAAAAAACAACTTGGACTTAGATGTATCCCCCTTTTCATGAGGTTTTCTTGGGTTAAAACAGTTTATTTGGCCACAAGCCAAGCAAGAAACTTTATAAGGAATTTTGACTTTCCATATAAGCTTCCAAGGCCAGTCCTCAATCTGATTATTACAAGGGTTAAATTTTTTATAGGCCCCTTTCACACTGAAACTACCTTGACTGTGGCCCTCCACTCCAATTTATCTTGGTCAGTTGTCGTTCCCTTTGGATTGCTCCAATTTGTTGTAGAACTCAACTTACCTCAAAATCTCCCAGTCATTAAAAGGTCTTCTAAAGCTCAAACTCCATCCATGATTTGACCAGACATCAGCCACAGTGGCCCTTTGTTGTTGGTTTAGGGTGTAAATATCATTAAAGGTGTCCCTTAGGGGGGCTTGATCTAACCACTGGTCTTCCCAAAAAAAGTACCTTCCTGCCATCTTCTGTTCTTATGCTGCAATTTTCTCTAAGCTTTGGCCACAGGTTTCTGATGGATCTCCAAAGGTTGATCCCATAAGTATCAGTGACTATTCTGGTGGTCCAGTGATCTGCCATTTCATACTTCAGCTGGATAACTTCTTTCCAGAGAGCTGACTCCCTAGAAGCAAATCTCCAGAGCCATTTCATCATAAGACATTGGTTCTGAGTATTTAAGTTCCTGACCCCCATACCCCCTTTTAGTTTACTTCCAATCAGTGCATCCCATTTCACCAAGTGGAACTTCTTGGTTTCACTGTTCCCTTCCCAGAGGAAATTTCTTCTTAGAACATCCAATCTCTCAATGACACCATCAGGGATAGGGAAGAGGGACATCATATAGGTAGGCATAGAGTCCAAACACTATTGATTAGTGTTAGTCTTCCTCCCAAGAAGAGATATTGACTTATCCAGTTCACCAACCTCTTCTCACACTTCTCTATCACCCCATTCCATATATCTATAGACCTATTCTGATCACCCAGTGCCATGCCCAGATAGACAGTTGGTAGCTCCCCAATACTTCCACCAAGAACCCCAGCCAATGAGGTTAGGTTAGGAACCTCATTAACTGGATATATGAAGCTCTTATTCCAGTTGATGTGTAATCCTGAGATTGCTTCAAAAAGAACAAAAATGACCCTGAGAATCATGAGTTGGTTCTTATTAGCCTCACAAAAGATCAATGCATCATCAGCATACTGCAAATGAGTAAACTCCAAGTTCGGGTCTTCCCTGTGGTGCAACTTTGAATCCCTTCAACCAGCTTGTCTGCTTAATGTTCTTGAATTCCTCATCCCATTCGTCAGAAAATAAAAACCTATCAAGCCTGGCAGCAACATCGTGACTCTCCCGTTCCCTCCAAGTGTATTTGCCCCCTATCAAATGTGGATCTTGAAGGCTCATATCTTCGATGATATCAGACAAATCATACATTGCTCTTGTGAATCTAGAGCAGTTTCTCTTTTCTGAAGGGAATCTAACAGTGTTAAAGTCCCCACATACTACCCAAGGCCCATCGAGAAGTCCTCTGGCTGAGCCTAACTCCCACCATACTTCTTCCCTTAGAGTGGGTTAAACATTGGTTGGGGAATGAACTAGTGGTATGCTTATATTGACTTGGGCAATCCTCCCCTCATGAGCTAGATTTAAGAGTTGAGTTAGGCCTAGGTATCCAACTCAGGTTCATCCATGTTTGGGCTCCCGGTCCACGCTCCAGTTTAGAGTAGGTTAGGATCCCACATTAGTTAGGGAATGGACTGGTGGTCTGCCTATATGGACTTGGACGATTCTCCCCTCTTGAGCTAGATTTTGGGGTTAATTTAGGTTCAAGTGTTATATCTTTCCATAAATTCATGTGTTCTTTTGATTTTTCCATTACTTGTACACTTCACTACAAAGAAGTGTGCTCTTAACTTCATGCTTTTTTACTTCAAGACCCATGGACCCAATCACTTTTTGCGCTTTGGCATTTAAAAACACTGGATGTGACCCTTTAAACAATGTTATGGAAACTCACTAGTGCCAATCAATTATTGTGGGGAAAATCATTAAAGCAAAATATGAGGAAGATAAATGGATGACTAAAGAGGTAACTACACCCTATGGGATGAGATTGTGGAGATCCATAACTTGTGGACTGAATTGAAAACCAATATTAAGATCAAAGTGTTAAATGGCTTACTGAAAAAAAAAAAGATCAAAGTGCTACTAATTGTGGACACATTTTATCAACTCTCGCAGAGTCAAAAGTGACAAATATATTGACCAAACAGAGTAATAATGATTAATCAATAGATCAATCCACTAACTATGGTCCAATGACAAACTAGTAAAAAAATATGTGAATTCTCTATATGTGCAATTCGGTTCAGACAAGTATGGCATTAAGCTGGCTGGATCAAACAAAGATCAAAATCTTTAGAACTTCCACCAGAATAGTATCTACTTTGTACAAATGACAGATCTACCCATAGTTCATATAAGGAGGAGAAATCAGTGAGCTAAAGGAAGAAAGGTGAGGAAGGAACCAGAAAAATAAGGAAGAGACAATGAGTGAGAAAGTGGGGAGACGGGAAGGAACGGATGTGCTGGAGCCTTGATTTCTAATGTTTGTAAGCTCACAAGTCCTTCCCATGAGTCAAAAGTGCTCCTCACTTTGCTCCTTTGGTGACAGAAATTCCCGACCTCAAGTTTTCAGAGGGAGGGAGCTATCCTCTATTGTCTAGCTAGTTCAGAAACTTGTGACGGTTTACCAATCCTACAAACACATCAGGAACAGAGACACATTGGTTTCCTTTAAACTAAGTACATATCCACATCCAGACTATCTCTACATAACAATTTTGCTGGCTTGATTAAATCAATCATCAGATGATCGAAAGTTGCTCGTTTAAATGCTTATCTGCATTACAGTATGGAGTCGGCTTGTCCGAGAACCATAAATGCTGTCATGGAAGCAAATTCAGATTCTATAATGAACGCAAAGTTAAGTTGATCGTGCTCAAAGTTTTCTGAGGTTAACATTTCCAGATGGTTCCCCCTAACCCAAGCTAATTTTGCTTACTCCATTGATTCAAAGGCATATTAATTGCAGCAGTCACTCCTTCCTTTTTTATTTCTTTTGGTAAGGTAAATATGAACACAACCGTCTTTAATTTGAGTCTCATCAGATATTGCTTTGAGAAGAAATCTTTGCAATGAAAACATGAAAACAATAAGAATGTATCATTCATGCCTGGGAAGCTAACAATTACTAAGTTCAACTGTGGAATTTATCCAAAAGAATTGTATTTGTTTTTCTCTTCGATTTAGTTTGCTTTTGAAGGGTAGGACTACCCCACTCACCTCAAGTTGCTGCAATGCATTGGCTGAAAGAGTCATCTCCATGTTGCTAGAGAAGGGACGAAATGAGGCTCCCAAGCACAGAACTCTTTCCAAACCAAATTGTTTTAGATGGCTAACAATTAGGCCCAATGCTTGTACAGCCAAATGAGGCATTGCCATTATTCCCTACAATTCAATATGAAAGGATGAGAGAAAAAGATATAATCTAATACACAGGGGAATCCAGTGAACCCCATCCAACAGACACAGCAAAGAACATGAAAGAAGAAGGTATAAACATGTCCACATAAGAAAGACATGAAGATATTAGTTTTGACATTTCGATTCCAATAGATGGTATATAAAAATTTAGTAAATTCAGCCTCTAACTATACGAAGAGTTGAAATTACACCTGGATTGCAATTTGATTGCATTTGGGCATTTTCATTTCAGCCTCTTCCTTTTCTTGAACATCTAACAAATTAGTTTCCTGCATGCCCTCATAGAGAGACATCACCTCAGCCAGAGCACCACCGTCACTGAACCGATCTGATGATACATCCTCCACCCGAACATTCGATGCAGGTCCAGCATAAGCCAGTAGCAGCTGAAATGAATATAATAAATTAAGGGAACTTTCTTAACTAAGCAAAAATAACTACTATTTTTGCCATACATAGATATAGTTTAGAAATATTACCTAACATAGCTATACTAAGGGTTCTAGGGCAAATTTCTCCTCTCTCATCCCTCTCCCTCTATATCAACTTTATCAATTGTATCACTTTAATGGCAACCATACAATCTTGAAGAAGATACTTATATCGATTAATCACTCCACTGGTTGTCGTTACAGCCTAAATGCAGGAAAGAATACAAGTGATATAAGAGCAAATGAATACATATGATACAAGAGCGAATGAATACATTTGATACAGTTGTATGTATCGAATACAAAATGTATAAGCTTGTATGTATCAGACGGTATTCGTTGAAAACTTATCGTCAAAAATAGCCTGTATCCAAAATCTCTCCTCTTTCTCCCAAATCTTGCTCACCTCTCTTGTCTCTCTCTCACCCAATTCTGCTTGTCTCTCTCCACCCTCTAACATGTATGTATTGGATTGTACTCATTGATACAACATGTATTCATCGATTACAACATGTATCTAGTATCTCTCATCTCTCTACCCCAAATCTCGCTCGCCGCTTTTTTCTCTCTCAATCTCGATCACCTCTCTCCTCAACTCTCATAGTTTATATATCGAATACAACATGTATCCACTTGGACTATGTCTAGCATCTCTCCTCTCTTTCCCAAATCTCGCTGGCCTCTCTCCTCTCTCTCCCAATTTCGTTCATCTCTCACCTCCCACTCATTGTAGCGATGAGTCGTAATTAGACAAACAATAGCTACTAATGATAATAATGATCCAAACTATAATTTATGATCCACTTTCAACAACATCATAATGACAACTCAGATATTAAATTGAAATCATTTTCATACAAACTTCAATTTATTTATTTTATTGTGACAAGTTTCATAGAAGCTTAAATATGTGACTTTTTACCATAAAATAAATGTCCAAACACACAACTCTAATTGAATAATAAACAGCATCTTCATGCCCAAAAACGCTAGAAAAAAGTCAATAATGCTATTCTATGTTCTGATTCTTGAAGAAATTACCCAGAAATATTGGACAAGGCAAACAAAAGTAAGAAATGTGCTACCTTCAAACTAATTGTCAAGCCAATTTCCTGTCTTATTTACATGAGTGGTCACTCTAAATATTCTTGGAGTATTAAATGCTGCATTCATCTCACCTGGATACACACCTTTCTTGGTAGTTTGGTTGTATGAGTTGCATCTTTTAGTTTGTCTGATCTGCACTACCTACAAATAATTTCCTTGTTTGTATTACCCAAATTTTCTCCCCAGAAACGGTCATACATTCCTAAAATAACAACTTATTTACAACAGGCTGTGGCAAAGGATAAGGAGTCACCATTATTTCACCAAAAGAGGAGGTTGTTCTACCACTGCCTGAACCAGAATGACATGCCTGTACATTTTTGCCCCATTAGAGATATGGCAAAAATGAACCTTCTTTTACACATGGTCAGCTCATGTTTTAGTGATCAAGTTTTACAGTCCTTTCCTCACATGAAACACCATCTCTAAAGAATAATTGGTTCAGTCTTTAATCTAGAAATAAAAATGCAAATTTATTTTACCAAATCCATGCAGATTCAATTAACAAAGAACCTGCAACAGAGCAATCATCTAATAAAGATCTTTTAGTATGCAGCTCTTGTTATAAAAGTCTGTTCTTTTAGAGAGTAAGAGATCCAATTCTCTAATTAATTCTTTACAAAAAGAATATTTCATCTCCACAAATAGGAAATCAATGTGAGATACCAAAGGTTCCTTTTAGTTTTATGATAGATTTTCATATAAACGAGTGACAATCACCTTCTCTGTCTGCTTAGATATAGGCCTGCCAACAAGCAATTCAGCTGGCAACAAGTTCAGGATCATAGCCTCCAACCCAGCCCTCATGAAATTGTCATTGAACTCCCCATAAACAACATCCCCAGTTGAAACCTCAACTCCAACAACCCCGAGTTTCACATCATTCCCACAACCCTCAAGGTCGATTACCTTCTCAACAACACAAACCAAATAGTTATTACATGACCCGAACCCCTCATCTCCACCCCCTACATCTTCAGAAGCCTCCAAAGTGGCTTTCGTGTACAATGCTGACAACCCACGGCCAAAAGGGCCCAATTTATTCGATCCATGAGCCTTAATTGCAGCAGTTTCCGTTTGTTTAACAACACCAACTTTGTACCCTGCACTCACCAGCCTCCTCACATGAATATTCAACCGAAACGTGGGTACACTAGCTGTCAAGAAATTGTGGTCCATATGTGCATAAATACCCAAAACTCTAGCAGCATTTTCGGCATCCTGACCAAAAAATCTGTACCTGTAACCAACTTCAATCATCAATAGAACATCTGGGTACTTAGTCTTAAGCTCCACAACTTGTTGCTCTAACGGCGTGTACTTGGGATTTGCAATTTCATGACACTTGGAAGGTTCCAAAAGGTGGTAAGATGGTTCTAGAAGTTTATCCAGGAACTTCTGGTGGAGAGTGGGATTAGGAAGAGGAGTGGATGGGTTATCTACGTGGGTTGATAGCTTAGGGGTTTTGGTGGGTTTTGTAGGATAATCATCGTAAGAAGAAGAAAGTTTGTTCTGAGGAGAAATGAGTTGGGAAGTTCTAAGGCGCTTTGCAGGTGAAAAGCTGACGGTGGCAACAATTTTGGGAGGTGGAGTACAGGGGGTCGTTGAAGTTGAAGGGTCTTCTTCGTTCTTCGGTTTTGGTGCAAAGAAGCGGGAAATTACTTGTTGTTTTGGTTTCCCCATTATACCAATGGAGACGACTGCGGTCGTCGGGGTGGTGACTGGTGGTAGTGGTGGTAGTTCCGAGCTCCGACGGGTGATTTTGACAGTACGAAGAGCAAAGGCGGTTTCGCAGTGTAGATTGTAATGCTACTCGAGAAAATTAAATGGAAGTGTCAAATAAGTCTTTGATTTGGTTTTTGGTGACACCAAAAGCTGACAAAATTATTTTTAAAATGTAATCAAGTGAATTTGGGTTTAGAGAAAAAGGCGTAATTATTAATTTGAAAATGCAAGGATTATATTTGAAATTAAAAAATATATTATCAAAGTATTCGATTCAATTAACCTTTCATTCTATCAATCACTATAATGTGAAGAGAGTATTATCTATCAAATATTTTTATATTGTTAAAATGGATTTATTTATTTCTATATATATATATATATATATATTATATATATATATATATATAAAGATAATAAATAAAAATATAGTAAGCGAGTTAATAAAAAAATCATATTTTCATCCGAAGTTTAATATATCGAGACTTAATAATCAGTAGCGTAACATTTTAATTATTTTTCTAAAAAGTCGTATTTAACGAGTGCAACTCAAAAATTTAAAATATCGATTGATATGATTTATGCAAAAATCATACAAATCTAAATTGTATATTTGTAAAAAAGAACAAGAACGATTGAAAAATAAAATATTTAAAGAAGTTTTATCATATCAAAATGACAAAGAATAATAAAACCAGTAGACGTGTTTCATTAGTATTTTCAATTACTTCACAACATAATTTTAAATACTCAATAAAAAAGGTACACCGTTATAATAGATTATAGATGTTAAATTTGTTAAGCATTGTCATCTCAAATGATCTTCATAATTAATATATAATTAAAAAATATAGTGATAATATAATGTTTGGACACGCAGAGAACATATAATTAATTAAAAAGGTAATTTTTAACATTTATTTCAAAGACGGTAAAGTGCGGCCAAATTTTTTAGTATAGTAACAATAAGAAGAACTCAAAATAAATAGAAGAAATATTATTATATGAGTGGTGACAACAAAGAGACCTGAAAAAGGCAATGTTGTAGGTTAGGAGGGAAGTAAACAAGAAATTTGGATAAATATTTTTTTGGGCATCAAAGAAAAGAAGCATATAATTACTTTCTTCATTTTTATTGATTATTATTCATTTTCGAACTTTACATGCTTTTTAATAATAATTGATATCTAAGTATTTTATCATAATATTTATATTAATTTAAAAATAAATATTAATTTTACAATAAGATACGAAATGATAATATTTTAAAAATATATTAAAATAAATACATTATTAAAAGTGAAAAACTATTTTAAAATATATTCCTAAATAAAAAGAACCAAATCAAAGTTGAAATGGACCCAGTAAGGCTCATTGGACAGTTCTAATCTTCAAAATTAAATATCATAAATAGTCTTTTAATTATGGAATTGGATCTGAAATGACCGATTAATTATATACTTATCAAATTTAATTATTAAAAAATTTATCAGATTTGGTTCCTTAACTATACACATACAAATTTTAGTTTTTTGAGTAATCAAAAATTTATAAACTTTGGTTATTTAACTATACACTTATCAATTTTAGTCCTTTAAGTATTTAAAAACTTATCAATTTTTTACACAAACAATTTGGGTTTGTATTAGCTGAAGTCTTCGTGAGATTAAATTTTCAAATCATTTTAAAAGTTATTTCTCCATCCCCACTATTTTTTCTTCAAATTGCTCGTACTAGAAACAATAACTTCAACGATTCAAAATAAAACTAGTAAGGAAAAAAGATATAAGTCTTATTTTATTATGTGGAGGATAAAATGGAACATATAATTATTGCTAGTGACTTGAATATGTCGTGTTTCCTTCTGTGACAGTTAACGTTATAATCATAGTGAATTTTTAAAATTTTGTTTTTTCTTACAAAAGAAGAGTAAGAGATGTGATCTTATTACTCCAATTTTTCTACGTAAAATAAAATAAATAGAATAATAAAATCGATCTATTTTTTTAAAAAAAACACTTAATATTTTTTTGCAAATCTACCATTTTATAAATTTCAACTTCTAAAAAACTTAACAAATTCACTTCAATAAAGTCGTTAGAATACAAGTTTTAAATTTAATGAGTAATAATTTCTTATGATAAAGTTTAACATGTTCAAGTCATTAATATTAACAATATGCTTCACTTTATCGTCTGTTGAATAAAATTATGACTTGTATTTTCTTTCCTAATGAATTTTATTTTGAATCATTAAGATTAAGGCTCTTTGTACAATGGAATTTGTAGAAAAGTGAAAAGAGAAAAATAATTGAAAAAATAACCGAATAATTTAATTTCTCGAGATATGAATTTTGTTAATATAAATCTAAATTATTTGTAAGAAAATAGATAAAAATCAAATCTAATAAATTTTTAAATACTTAAGAAATTAATATTGTTAAATATATAGTTAAAGAGACTCAAATTTTGATAAATAATATATATATATATATATATATATATATATATATATATAAGTAAAGAGACTAACTTTGATAAATTTTTAAATAATTGAAGGACTATTTATGAAATTTTCTTTCCAATCTTCTAAGTAGTCCGTCAAAGTACAGAAGCATCCCATCAACGGCAAGAGGGAAAATCTGAAAATACAAATATTCTTCCGGTGAACACCCACCCATCATCTCTGCTTCAGTTCTCCCGCCGGCGATATCTAATTCCCGTGAGGAAGGTTGGGTGAATCCTCGTCATTTGCATAGAAAGAAAATGGTAACGACTTCAGTTGTCAACACGTACCCACTGTCCAGCTATACATTTGGTACCAAGGAGACCAAAATGGAAAAGGACACCTCCGTCGCCGATCGCCTTGCTCGTATGAAAGTCAAGTATAGTTTCTTCTATTTTTCCTCGACTTTTTTTTTGTAATTGAAATTCTCATTGATTCTTCCAGGTAGTTAAGTACATCAAAGTTCCTTAAACCCTAGGTAAAACCCTTCCGAAGCTGGATCACACTGGTCATTGCTAGTATTTAGGTGTTACTACACTTAAGCCGCTATAAAAAAGTTTCTCCTTTTTTGGAATTTAACAACCTGTTGTTTGTTATTGGTTTTGCAGCTATACGAAGGAGGGCATGAGGACTAGCGTTGAAGGAATTCTATTGGTATGCTTTTGCATCCTCTATCTCAACTTATATTATGCTCCTGTTTCCATCTTAGCAAAATGATCATTTTCTGGTCTTACCTTGTTCAGTTATTGATCTAAATTGTTACTATTTTTGTTTGTTTTGCCACATCTAGTTGCTAGAACTCATTAGCTGTTGTTAAGCTGCAATAAATGAGATCCAAATATGTTTGATTCGAATATTGGTTTTGATGCAGTGAATGTGCTTTTAGTTTAGTTGATATTAAGATCTTTAGTCCTAGTTTAGTCTAATTTTTTCTCTGACATGAGTCATGACATATGGTTGTCAACTTGTCATCACGTGTAGAAAAAGGGAGCGTTCGGCACTCTCAAAGCTCTTGCATAATGCAATTGTTTGCATAAGATTTTTGAGATGTATGTCTAAGCAAATATCCATGCTTGAAGTGTATGATTCTTCCATGATCTTTCTAAGATTTTCTTTGTATGAGAAAACAAGAGTCAGAATGGGAATTAAATTTCCACTCTGTTTCGTAATATTTCTTCATTTCCAAGAGCTGCCATTTTTGTAGCTCCTTTGTGGAAAATATCATGTACTTTCAAATCTGTTTCCTGTGTTGTAGAAAAGATCTTTACATGTATTTATCCATGAATAGTTACATTTCATCACATCAGTTCAACAACCAATCAAAGTTACCATTTTCGAAACAACAAGTACCGCACATAAGAATTCGCTATCATGATAGTTGCTTTTCCAGGTCTTCAGGTGCTCTTGGCCTCTTTATATGCATAACCATTCTAAAGGGGAGTAGACTGATTCAGTAGGCCTTCCTCTCCCTCTCTAGTTTCATTTACCATCTTCCAATCTTCTGACAAGCATTTCATTATAATCTCATAAATGTTACTCCCTTCATTTAGAAAGAATTGGGGGGGGGGTGGTCTAGAGCACCAAGACCAAACTTCTAATTTTCAGTTTCAATTCAAACATCAATTTCTTAATCTTATTGAAATAAAATTTTGATATTTAGAAATTATATTAAAAGGTAGTGTAGGTGACATATTTATTTATTTGAAAATTTAACAATGCACAAAAAGGTTGTAGTCTAGGACAAAGATGAATGATTTCCTAAATGCCAAGTATCATATAAAGTGGAATATAGGAGGAGTACGTGGAGAAGATCTTTCAGGAGAGAGGTTAAGTAAATAGTGAAGCAATATAAATTTCTCAATGAGTTCAGTTCAATTGGGGAAGAAAGATCTTTTTAGGAAAACTGTTTTTTATAAGAGTTAATGGGGAGAAGAAGAATCAAATGTCTTTACTAGGAGTTCTTCCGCTTTGTTTGTTGGATTGGACTGTGGTTACTGGACATTGACCTTTGTTTCTTCAACTATCTTAGTCAGTATAGCCATTAACTGAGGACACTTTATTCATTGAACTGGCTTCCATTTAATGTCTTATATAGCTTGCTTCTTCATCATGTTTAGCTATTTACTGAAAATGTTTATAATAAGAGAAGTTACATAAAATACTACTCCATATAGTGTTCCTTATCTGTAAAAAGGAAAGGAAATTAGAAACTCTCTATGTAGTGTTACAGTTCCTGGTTTCAGATGTATGAAAAGTTGGGTACTAGATATTTAATTTTAGGCCGATTACATACCTAGAACTTTTAAAGCTGCTGGAGATCTGTTCACTTTAGAGGATACTGGGTCAGTGTGCGTGCAGATGATAAAATGTTGCAGAATTAGGATTTACTACATTAAGAAACAAGAATGGAGAAATTCACGAGATGAGAGATCTCAACTATAAGAAGAAGAGAGTGTCAGATAGAACAAATGCTCTCATTTCTTACAAGAGAAACTTTTATGTCTTGAACTACTTGGAAGATGTCCTAGTTCAGCCTGATTATTGAGCTCCTAATTCTGATCAAAAGATGTCCACACAAAACTGATAAACTTTTAACATATTTCAAATGGAAATAAAATGGGTCAGACCAACAGCCAGTCTTCTTGGCAATTATTGAAAGTTGAAACAGGGAACAGCTATTTAAAGGCTTTGCTAATGTTAAGCTTACCCAAAAAAAAAAGCCCTGTTAATATAAAGGGAGAGGTGGCAGGTATCTTGTGGACGGTTATCATTTTTTTTAAGCCTTACCCAAAAAAAAGGTTATGTTAATATAAGGGAGATCAATTTCCTCAGCATTTATAGAGCTATGATTCATGAGTCGCAAGCTACTAATTAGTTTCGATTACATTACTACATGTGTGCTCATGTTTTCTTCTTCAACTAGACCTTTATCTTCTGTTCTCACAGTCACATTCCATATATCACCCATCTCAACAGTCAGCTTAATCCCTGCTTCCTTACAACTTTCTTCTATTCGATCAATGGCTCTCAAGCTCTCTTAATGGGAGGACAAATAATAGGCCTCAAGCAACTTAGGTTTCAATTGTATCATGAACTGTTTATAGTTGTAAGAGGAGTAGGTTGTTTCTTCTTTCAGTTGTTTCAAAAGATAATTCATACAAAATCTATTTTAATACAAGAAGTTCTCTTGTAAGGCTTTCTAATGTTGGTATACTTCTTGTACGAGCAAGTTTTTGCCCTTTTCTAATGAAATTTGGTACTCTATAAAAAAAATAACTACGAGAGGCGATATATACCTAGTAATTGACTAAATTTGGCACAAATTGTTCAAGTCGATTAGTTAGAAGTAGATGATTAGGCGGCTTTCATAAGAAACCATGTATGTGAGATTTTCTACTTTTCGGTATACTTATTGTACATGGGCTAGTTAATTTTGTTAATAGCATTCTTACTTCAAAACAAAAAAGGCTGGTTTTGTAATTTTAAAGTTGGATTTGACGTGTAATTCCTCTGGTTTGGATTCACAGGTACAAGAACACAATCATCCTCACATTCTTCTATTGCAAATTGGGAACACATTCTGCAAACTTCCAGGTGGACGTTTGAAACCAGGAGAGAACGGTATGTTTTTCTTATGATTTTCACTGGATATCACAATTTTTTTGCTAAGCTTTGACACGGGATACTAGCATTTCTGCTTTCTATTTTTCTTTTTGTGCAGAAATCGAAGGTTTAAAAAGGAAACTGTCTAGTAAACTTGCAGCTAATTCTCCTGGCATTCAGCCAAATTGGCAGGTATGCTTATAAGCGTTACGCCTTTTGGTGGTTTCTTTTCTTTTAAGTGGGAGAAATATACAACTACATATCCAGTGTAATCCCACAAGTGGGGTCTGGGGAAGGTCGTGTGTATGCAAACCACTCCTACCTTGTGAAACTATGGAGGCTAATTTCAACAACCCTTGACTCAAGTAAAACAATTCTAAGCAGGTGATGAAAAGAACATATAGGAGTAAAAAAGCCATGATAAATTAATAGAGAAAAGAACAATAGAGACAACAAATAATTTGATAATCGAAGAAAGGGAAACAACAAGTGGTAATAAAGATTCGCAAAATAAGATAAAAGAAAGGTAGTAATAGTATTACGGGTGAGAAAAACTAGATAACGCTCGACTACCTACTAGCCTTCTATCCCGATTCGTAGCCTCCATACCCTCCTATCCTGGGCCATGTCCTCGGTAAGCTGTAGGTGAGTCATGTCATGTCTAATCACTTCTCTAGAATACTTCATCAGCCTACCTATACCTCTCTTCATACCCACCATAGCCAATCTTTCACACCTTACACCTTGCACCTTGCACCTTGCACGTTGCACCTTACTGGGGCCACTACAGCATCTCTTTTTTGCTTACTTAAACCACCTTAGTCTTGCTCCCTCATCGTCCACAAGAGGGCACTCTCGCCTTGACCTAAATATCCTTGTTCTTATCATATATCTCTTAGTATGCATCCTCATTTTCGCTACTCACTTCTTCTGGATGAACATAGCTGGTCTAACCACCACCTTTGTAAAACTTACATTTAAGTAGTGTGGGCACATTCCTTTCACACAACACACCAAATGCCAGCCTTCATTTTTTCCACCTTTTTTTTTCTTTTTGAACCTGGTAATTTTAGTCTATATCTCCACAAGTACACTTCAACAAAAGTGCAGTTCCCCTTCAAAAGTATTACAACTTACCGAGTAAACATTCTTAATATATCTTGTTTACCCCAAAAATAGAGAGCTAAGCAATTCATCTTGATCTTCTGTAAGCTATTTTGCCATTTTTTAAAACTTCTGTTGTTTTTCTTTCCAAATTGTCCAAAAAATACATGCTGGGACTTCTTCTCCTTATCAAAAGCATTGCCATCTCTATTCCGGCTGCTTAGGACTTCTTTAATGCTCTTTGGTTTCACCTATCTTATCCCTTTCTGTCAAATGAACATCTGTCCTTGTACAATGCAAAAAAAGATGGTTAATTGTCTCAACATGTTCTCCACATAAATTACATGTAGAAACTAACTTATAACCTCTTTTCTTTAGATTTTAATGAGTCAAAACTTCTTCTTTTAATAACAACATGAAAGTCTTTTGGTTTCCATATCATCTTCCATGGCCATTCTGTCTTCTGGCCAATGTTCTTGTTGAGTTCCTTATAAATTGAATTTATTGAGAATTGATCTTTGGTATCATTCTGCCAAAACCAATAAGTCCTTCTTTTCAGTGAGGTTGCTGAATTGAATTTTTGCCAGTTTGTCTATCTCCCAGTCATGAAGGTTCCTCCTTAAGAACAAACTCCATCCTTGTCCAGTCCACATTGTAGCCACAGTGGCTTGTTGATGTTCGCACAAAATGAACAATTCAGGATGCAACTGTTTCATAGGGACAGACCTATTTCACTTGTCCTCCCAGAAGGATGTCTTTGCACCATCTCCCACTTCTACCTTGGTTTTCTGATATAGCACTGCATGGATTTCTGATTGCCCTCCAAACAATGCATTTATGAGTACTTATCAATTTATTATTCACTTATCTTCCATGCCATACTTTGCTATGATGATATCTTTCCAGAGCATAATAAATTCCTTCTAACAGCATCAATGCTATTAGATACATTGGCAGGCATAGGAAAGACGAACATTATATGAGAGGGTAATGATCCATCACACTATTAATTGAAGTCAATCTTCCTCCAAGGACAAGTACCGTCTCTTCCATTTGGCGAGTCTATTCACATTTCTCCATGACCCCATTCCATATGGCTTTGGACTTGCTTTTAGATCTCAAAGGCATGCCTAGGTAGGTAGCTGGAACCCCAACCTTGACTCCTAGTATTAAGCACACTATTGATAAGATAGATGTAGCTTTACCCCCAATTTATGTGGAGACCAGAGACAGCTTCAACAATGACAAAAATTAACCCTCAAAATCAGAATTTGTTTTGTCTCTACTTCACAAAATATCAATTTGTCATTTGCATATTGTAAATGAGTTATCTCCAAACTTGGAACCCCTTAATCCACCCCTTCCCTTTGTTGTATTATTTCTGGATCCTCCTTCATCACCTCCCCCATTTTTAGTCTATCTATTGTATTTGCTCTTCTGTGCGCATTTGCAGTTTTGTGGAAAAAATTGGTGTTTCTATCCCCTTCCTTAAGCCATGTTACCCTGGATCTTTGTCTACAAGTTATCTCCTCTTTCTTTGCAATTTCTTCAAATTCATTTATGAGTGTCATTCTGGATACTACTACTTTTTTTACAATATTATATGCTCTTGAATTTCCTCCAGATCTGCCAGTTGTGTTTCTGAATTCCTAGATTCCCTTGAGTTGATTTACTCTACTCCTTTAGTTTAGTCTCCAATGCTCTCAACTTGGAGACCAGGACAAAGTCAGGGCTACCAGTGATAGGGAAAGACTCCTACCATGTCCTGATCTTCTCCTTGAATCCTTCTATTTGAAGCCATCAATTCTTAAATTTGAAGTAAGAATTGGAAGCCTTCCATTCACCACACTGTAGCATGATAGGGGAGTGATCTGATGTAACTCTCCGTGAGTTTGACATTCCTGAAGCAATTGTCCAGTTCTTCTGAGATTAGAAATCTATCCAATCTAGTTGCAATACCTTGTCTATCCCCTTTTCTCCATGTATATTTACCCCCTTTAAATTCAAAGTCTCTCAACTCAATATCCTCTATGAACTCAGAGAAGTCTGTCATTGCTTTGTTGATTCTGAGGCATCTCTTCCTCTCTGTTGATGTTGAAGTCCCCACACCCCTGAGCATAGACCCCTGGCAGCACCTAGTTCACCCCAAGTATCCTCCCTTTCCACTCTACCATTTGGTGCATAGGCTCGTGTTAAGTGCCAATTTAGGTTTTGGCTCTTCCCAAAGAATCTACAAGTGACAGAATACATCACACACTGCTTTCTGCACCCTCCCGGTTCCTTTTATCCCACACAATCACTACACATCCTTTGGTTCTACTAGCCTCCAACTGTACAAAATCAACCCACCTACTTCCCCATACTTCCTTTATTATGTTTGTAATAGACTAATATCCCCTCTCAATTGAGTTTCTTTTTTCGAGGATAGTAACACCCCTCTCAATTGAGTTTCTTGGAGACAAACAATGGCAACCTTCCAGGATCTAAGTATATTCTTGACTATTCCCCTCTTTCTACAACAATTTTACCCTCTTACATTCCGGAAAATAATTTTCGGATTCATTGATCATTTATAGGTAGATTTTCTCCTTACTTCTAGAGCAATAGCGCCAAAGTTTACTGTCAATCTTTAGCCTTTTCAATTCTGTTAGCCCCTTCTTCTTTACTGTGACTAGTCTTATATCTCTATTGTGTTGTTTGTTGTTTATTTTCAGGAAGATCTCCTTTGCGTTCTTCTCACACCCTCTGAAATCTACCCAATTTCTGTACCTAGCTTGGTTATATACTCTTCAATCCATTCAAGTCATGTTTTCTATTTGTTCATTCTCTCGTTGGTACTTTCATTCTCAATTCACCACATCAAGTTGATCATCTGACTGTGTGACTAATGTCTCACCTTCATCGCCTTGTTTCAAACTTGTTACTGACTTGTCTGTTGGGTTGTTGGTTTGGTCATTCGAAATTTCTTTCTCCCCTTTGAAAATCTCCACCGCTGCACTCAGTGTTAAAATGAGAGATATTGGTTTGAATTTCTGTTTCCATTGTTATATCCTCTTTCTGTGTTATTTCAAGTTATTGGGTTATAACAGTATTTGGGCTTAAGTTTAGGCCCGATTTTTACCCTACCTGCCACAGCCCATACAGTGGCACTTTCGCCTTCACTAAACCTCCGTGTGGTCTTTAATTTGAATTTTTCTTTCTTTCTACTGCGCCCACGTGACTAGTCTCTCCTAAAGTAGAGCCTTTAATCAAAATAAGTCTCTGCTTCTGATTACCCACAGGTTCAAAGGCCCCAACCTCTGTTTTCTCTTTCTCTACTCTGAAAGTGACCGAAGCTTCCAGCTTGTAGGTTTTAGTGATCTCGTATGATTTGAAACCAACATTGTAGCATATATTGTTTTCCCCTAGTGCATTAACTCCAGCTATCTCCCGGAATAGGACCCCCCAAAAAGGAAAGATCAAAAGTTGACTGAAGGCAGGCTAAGAAAAAGCTCTTCTTGATCTTAGTGCCTGGAAGCATTTTTTCAGTTCCTTCTTTTTTATTCAAATCCAAGATTTGTTATAGCATATTGTTTAGTTCATTCACCTAACTTTAATGCGATGTATAACATCATTGTCAGTCTCCTCATTTCTTTTGATTATTGACCCAAGATACTTAAAACTCCCTTTGCTGGGGATGACTTCTGTATCAGTCCTCATTTCTGCATCTGCTATGTGAGTCTCGTCACTAATCTTGTACTTCCAATACTTTGTCTTACTACTGCTCAACCTAAACCCCTTAAGACTCCAGGGTTCATATCCAACCCTCCAACTTATGATAAACTTGGACGCCAGTCTCTTCGATCAATACTATGTTATCTGCAAATAACATACACCATGACATCTCCCTTTGAATATGTTTTGTCAATTCATTCATCACCAAAGCAAATAAGAACAGGCTCAGAGTTGATCCATGATGCAACCCCATTATTATCAGGAAGTATTGTGAGTCTTTTCCCACTGTCATATGCGGAAGATATAGGGGAAAAAAGGGTGGGGTGTAGGGCACCCGTGGCTTTTAGTGGTAAGAGTGCATCACATGATAGGTGGGTTAGCCCAATGTCATGATTTCGAACTCTGTCGCTTGCAAACACCTGGTATGAAAGTGGAGAAGCGTAGATGGGTGGGGCATCTCTATTGAGTTTCGGCCCATACGACAGTTGTTACTTCGGGAGTCCTCGATGGTTTAAATATAAAGTAGGTGGGCTGATGGTATTTTTATCTACTGAGTTTCACATCATATGACAGTCGTCCCTTGCGGAGTCCTCAGTGGTTCAAACTTAAAGTAGGTGGGCTGAAGGTACTTTCATCTACTGAGTTTCATATGACAGTCGTTCCTTGGGGAGTCCTCAGTGGCTTAAATCTAAAGTAGGTGGGCTGAAGGTTTTAACATTCTCCATTTCATGACTGTTTATTCAACCATATATCTTATGATGTGGTAGAAATGGAATTAGGATGACTACGGGCATCTGTGGAATGGTATAAATGTGAACAGCGAACCGTAACTTGATTTTGCATTATGCAAGAGAATTCTTTTTTTAAATACGCAACAAATCTGATTAAAGACGAGATTACATAGTCATGGCTGTGAGTCAGTTAATGTGTTATTTTTTTTAATGGAGAATTGTTGGTCTCATTGTTGTTGACCTGTTTTGTCTGAAAATACCATCCTCTGTAAGTGGCTAAGTGCATTATGCAAGCGGATTTTGTTTTTAAATACTTGTTACTCTCTTTACAAGCTTTCATAGCTTCCTGTAAGGTAATGTTTATCAACCCATTGATAGTTATTCAAGTTTTTTTTATCTATTTTTCCTCTCTTACAGTACTAGCTAATGCCTTTTGCTGTGATCTGGCTTCTCCAATGCAGGTAGGTGAGTGTGTGGCCATCTGGTGGAGGCCAAATTTTGAAACCATAATGTATCCATATTGTCCTCCACACATAACAAAACCCAAGGTACAGTATCATAGAAGTTCTTTTAACATGCCTAATCGCGTCTCTTTCTGGGGGGGGGGGAGGTTGATTTGGACTTAGAGAATTGGGCTAAAACGGGCTAAGTTGCACGGACTCTTCACTTTTTATGCCGCACCTGTGTCTCATTCTCCAAAAATACACTACTTTTGGTGAATCCCGCACGCACCCCTTGACATTATTGAAAGAGTCTGAGCAACATAGAAAATGGGTCATCTAACTTGCCAAGTTCTTACTATGTTTTATTTCTCTGTGTGTTCTTTTGAGTACCTAATGCACTTCTTCTGCTTTATTATCATTATATTTAAAATATCAAACAAAAAAGGTCCTCCTGAAATTTTTTTGACAGTTTCTCATAGGTCTATTCTGGGTACATGTCAGCCCAGTTTTAGATGAGTTGAATTGGGTGGGCAAAGGATGAGTCAAAAAATGAATCTTTTTATGGGCTAATTTTTCCGCCCCTAATTTTAATAACGAAACCAAAGATAAATCACCATATTATTCCAAGTAGAGCCTTCCGTTTGGTCATGCGATATGAAATCATGATATGGGATTATGAAATGAAGTTGAAGTTTTGTTTGGACATACGATTTGAACTTTTTATGTTTTCTCATAAACATAAAAACTCCATAAGTTATAAAAACTATCAAAATTGTTTCAATTGTTTATACAATCTTACCAAATAAACAGAAGTTACGTAAAATCACATTAAATAAATCTATTCTAAAAAATACAACCTTTATTGATCAAACCTTAATTTAATTTTAAAAAAATTGAACTTAAGTTGTAATGTTCAAGTTGTTTGTAGCTAAGGAAATTATTTTTGCAATTAATGCTACTGTGATTAGTCTTGTCCACTCAATAAATTTGATTTAAAAAATAATTAATTTGGTGAATATAAATGGTAAACTAAGAAGTGATTTGAACGAAAAATAATTTTCTATTGGAGAGAATAATCGTTATATGAGATATAAACGGTTTAAAAAGTAATGATATGAACTATAAATTTGATTATATATATATATATATAAATGTTGGTTATTTTTACAAAATATAAACTTTTGGATCAATTTTTGTTTTTGAAAAATCTCATATCATGATTTGAAATTTCCAAATCATGATTTTTGGAGAACTTTTAGATTCTATATCATGATATGAAGTTATTAGATGAAATCAGCGTGAAATCGCACGTCCAAATGTTGATTTCTTATCTTGAGATGAAATCGCATGGCCAAATGCCTACTTAGTTTCTCTTTTGGTAAATGATTCTTTTTAATTATTTCCGTGGGCCATGCAGGAGTGTAAGAAGCTCTTCGTTGTTCATCTATCTGAAAGAGAGTACTTCGCTGTCCCAAAAAATCTGAAGCTTCTTGCGGTGCCATTGTTTGAACTTTATGACAATGTTCAGGTATGAATTATAATCATTAATTTTCTCTGTTGCATCTTAAGATATTTTCCCAAGTAGAGTGCCTAAAAGTCCTTTAGCAGTCGGTGTTGTGCCGACTGGTGGCCGTCTCATGTGCCCGTAACCCACACCATTTTTTTAAACCATCTTTGATACAGTTCATCATTTTAATGATTCTATTTTTAACTCATTGCAGAGATATGGACCTGTGATATCCACGATTCCTCAACAGCTTTCCAGGTTCCAGTTCAACATGATCCACCCGTAGATTAGGTTAGGTGGACATTCAGAACCTCCTCCTGGCATACAATCCCAAAAATACATCAATATTTTTACTTTTCCAGTAGGCATATCTACCGACTTTCGTGGATATTTGTTTTCAACTAGCTTATTCATGATAGACATAAATTATAGGTGTACTGTTTAAAGCTTTGATTGCCTGTCTGTTGTAATGTACCATAAGTTACAAGTTGCCATGTATTTCTTTCTTCGTTTTTGAATGTTGACATGTTAGATGGAATACCGCTGCGATGTTTCATTTGTTCACTGAGGCTCTCGTACAGAATTGTACTTAGTGATCTCCACAATGGTACCGCCTCTCTGCCTCTTGAGTTTTGAGTTTATACTCAGCATGAGATATAGTTCATTTACATCGCTCCCTTGAAGACTCCTTTTTTATTGGCTTCAACAGGAAAACATTTGGATACATAAAATTGTCTTAGCATCAAGTTTCAATGAAACTAGACTTGTATAATTTTATTTTCCCTTTTATGTAAAAGACTTATCTTTTTGTTACTAGAGTTTAGGTGAAATGCATGTATAGATTTGTCGAGGATTGTAATTTAGTTAGTTGCTATGTAATGTAATTTTACGACAGTGTTGTTAAAGTTTGAGCCCAACTAAATCTACCATTTACTTCCAACTCACTTGGACATGTGATATCTAGTTATTTGAAGTTGAAGTATTGCTTAACCATGCACTATTGATTTTCTGAAGTTTTTTTTCTTTCTAAAATGTGAAAGACCCCAAGTTTTTGGAACTATAAAAAAAAATCATCTTTTTATAATTTTTTATCAAATTAGCAAATCATAATTTATATATAAGATATCAGAATATTTGAAGGCTTCCCATTGATAAATTACATATTTTCATATTATTTTTTACAAGTAGATGTTTGTGAATTGCGATTACAAGTTTCTAAATCCATTTAATTTTGTAAAGTAGAAAGTAACAAGTTAGTTTTTAATTTAATCCTTAAGAAAATTTCTTTTCTTGTTGAGAATCATAATTCCTTTTTAATCATATTGTATTACTTTTTGATAAAAACTTATGGTAAGTGTTACATATAAGAAAATTGAAATCACGATATGGGATTCTAGATTCTAAGTCATTTTTTTTTTGAGAATTTGAGATTAGAAATTAGTGTCTTTCATTAAACACATTAGCGTAGGTGTACACCAAGTTACTGTACAGATCGATAATCTCAATAGTTACTACTTTGTCTGAGTTGCTTTTAGATGCATTGTGATTCGTCTCTAAATACAGTTTATTTGCTTCTAAATACATTGTATTCAATGAATGTATCTAGTCTCTTTTTTCTCTCGCTCGACTCTAGATACAATGTATTTCCCTCGAGATACATTTTATATAGCAAATGTATCTCTCTTCTCTCGCCTCTCTCCCTCCTCTGTCCCTTGTTTTACTATTTATGTTTTACAATTTCATGTATGTGTATACAAAATCAAATATGCACTGATGTATATGTATATATCAATTTTATGTATTGATGTATCTAGTGTATATGCACAATATCCAATGTATCTGTGTATAATCACAACTCACAACTTGGTTCTAAGAGGGCACTGATGTGTCCAATGCATGTAGTGTTTATCAAATTTTTGATGTATTCAGTCTGAGTATAGATACATACTTAGAAAGAGACAAAAACGAAAATATAGTTATCTTGATACATGTATTTGTTCACTTATACATATGTTTGTGTAATTATGCCTTAAGCCCTTAACTAGTGACCCTTTAATGGCTATCCATAACCAATAACACAACAGAAAGAGGAGAAAGAGAGAGAGATGATATGATTATTTAATGTATAATGAGATTTAGTAGCCATGGTAGAGATGTTTGTCTAATTAGATATATAGTTTTTCCTTGAAATTATGATTCTAAATTGCATATTCAAACGCTGACTTGAAATCATAATTTCATATCGCATGTCTAAACTTCTTGTCATTACCTGTTTGGATGAGTTTATAACTTATTTCTACCTTAGAGCTTTTGTCTCAAAACAAATACTAAAAATTTTGTTTTCTTATTTTGTTCAAACAATACAAAATTGCTTTAAAACTATTTTGAGTTATATACATCAAATAAGCCGATACAAACAGACTTTTAGTTGCTTCAACTTTAAATTTACACTCTGAAAATCTTAGAGACTACATCAATTTCTTTTTTAAAATTTTTTTTGAGTTACAATTTTTTGCGCGAAAAACTCCTAATGAACATCTATCTGATATATATATATATATATATATATATA